CTAAATACTTTTGAGCTCCTGAAGTTCTTCACTGTCCAAGCTGTTATAACTGCTATCAACTTCGCTGTCTAAGCTATTGTAACTGCTATCAAACAGGTTATTTTATCAAACGATGAGTGACAGAACCTTATAGTTCTTTCTTCTTAAACTGATGCTGTTAGTTTTAGATGTTTGTAGGAAAAATAATCTGTTGCGAAAACTTTAGGTTTGTGCAATATTAAAGGACCTGAACATTATGATCATTACTGCCCATAGTTTATAACTTTCTTTACTTAACGAGTTTCCTGTGTTGTTACGAATATAATTTAGATGATAGCCGGCACATTGGTAACTTACATGCTGGAGTTAAATGTGAAACAAAGGGTTGCTATTGTTGGATTAATACCATATAAGTTGGTTCTTCATACCTATTAGAAATAACTCTTATTATTTATTTAATTTTTCATCGCTTACATGTTCCTTAAAACCAATACAATGGTTCTTGGACATTTTTTTCAATGATTTCAATGACAGTTTCTCGATGACAGATATATTTCATTCCACTGAAAGATGTTTGCTGTAATAATTATCATATCCATAGTTACATCCTGTTTCAACGGCTAAATTGCAAACGTATTTATTCAGTTTTAGATTAGTGGTATGGCGGAGTTAGGAAATGTGATGTACGAATAAATCTTCTAGAGGAAAAGTATTGTCACTGGGAATTCATAGTAATTTTATAGATTACCAATGCCGGCACTGCCAGAATTCAGACATTTTGGCCCATTTATTTTGGATGCAATTGTAATTGCTATAGTAATCTATTCCGTAACCGCATCTGTAGGAAAAGTATTTGCGAAGAAACATGGATATCATATTATTCCTAGTCAGGTATGGCATATTGTTTCTTGTTGACAATAAACAAATATTTAACTTTTCAATTTTCTCTAACATATTCCTGTTATTTCATTTTGCTTACCTCATATTACTAACAGTGATGTTGGAACACGGCCATGTTGCGCATATCTCATCTTGAACTTTAAACAGTGTTATTTCAAGCATCGATTCCGTTATAGTTTTAGAGCTAATCTCATTTAGGTATGAAACTTCTATGGTAATTTTGATTTAATCAACTGGACAATCTTTTTTCAATAAATGGATATTTGTAGGAACTGAAAGCAATGGCGATATGCCAATTGGTGGGTGGTTTTCTAAGTTGTCATCCGGCAAGTGCAAGTTTATCACGTGCTCTCTTGAATTCGGAATTGGGTGCCACCTCCGAGGTTAGGCCTTCTCTTTCTCAGGCAAAGTTAATTGAACATAGACTCTAATTTTCCATTTCTGATGCAAATATTGTTAATTAGTTTTCACTGATATGTTTTTTCCAATTACCGTTATAAACGTCTCATAAAGACAGAGTTAGATATAGTATTGCAGCTTTCGAGTGTTGTTGCTGCTCTTGTGGTACTATTAGTCATTCTTTTGGTTGGACCATTGCTCTACTATTTACCAATGGTAAGGCAATTATTCAATTGATGTTTCTGAAGGTTGCTCAATCTTTGTCATTTGTTACATAATGTTTTTCATTTATTAATTTTACATTTCATTTTTCCAGTAATCACTCATGTAGAATCAGTAGCAAAGTTGATTTTATTCACTAACATCATTTCAGTGTGTATTGGTTTCGGTAATAGTGGTAGCCTTGCAGGGCATGTTCCGAAAAGCTAGTGAAGTCGTTCATTATTGGAAAACTTCAAAAATTGACTTTGTTAGTTCACTTAGAAAATTTTCATTGCCTCAGCATTATTGATAAAATTATAGTATTTTGCCGACAAGAGAATGGTGATATATGTATGTATGTTTTATGTTTAGGTATGTATTTTTACATATGTTTTATCAATAAGACGAACTGCCTAAGAATTTCAGTTCATCTGGGTAGTAAGTTTTCTGGGCACATTTCTATGGGATGTGAGTCAAGGACTGGGTGTAGCTGTAGCATTCGCAGTTTTGACTGTCGTCATTCGCACACAATGGTTAGTGATCTGTCTGTTCCTGGCCCATATATAACAGAATTAATTTATTATAGGGTAATTTTGGAAAGATTCATTTCATATTTTATGTTTCCTAACTTCTTTCTTGGTATAAACGATGAGAGCTTTGAAAAATTATCTATTCCAATTCCTCTGTTTATCAAATCTAAATACAGAACCAGATTAAGTTTTGAGAATATTTTAGGTCAAAAGCGGTCATACTTGGTGGAATGAAAGATACCGAGCTATACAAAGATAGCGATCGTTACGGGTAAAATTAGACGCTTTTACTTCCATCATCTTTAAAACTCTATTATTATGTAGTCTTTCAAAGCGTTCGATCTTGCAGGTATTGAAAAGGTTATATGAAAATCACGATTAATCTAAGATGCAAGGATTTAAGCGTAGTTCGACTTGATATAGTATCGATACAGGTTACTTTTAGTGCATCGTTAGTATCCCCTACGATCGCAATTTATCGCTATGATGCACCTTTACTCTTTCTCAACAGCGATTCTTTTATCAGTAAGGCTCTTAATATCGTCGATGATAAATTGGTTAGTTATTCCTTTCATCAAGCAGTTCCTTGCAATTACTTGCTGAAAAATATCAATGCATTTGACCACCATTCGAGAAACATATTCTGCTTACTGAAAACAATAAAAAATTATAGAAAATGTTAAGTGAAGGAGAAAGACTTTATCTGATCATTGATGCATCGGGATTTACATACATTGACTATACCGGAATTGAAAGATTGAAGGATTTATCGCAAGAAGTGAGAATTCGCAATGTCGAAATGTTTGTGGCGGCCTCAAAGGGTAATCATTCCATTATTTCACGAATTAAAGTTGATTGCTTTGTTTAAATATATATAATATTAAATCAGTTGAAAGTAGTGGAAAAGGAAATATATTTATTGAAAGATACCCAAGGAATGAAACATATCCGAGGAAAAAATTTTTCAGCAGCAGCCCGGATACTGTTCGCTAAATGTAACATCTATGAAGTGATTCCGTCAGCTAATTTCTTCCCATCTGTTCACGATGCAGTATTGTTCGCTAATGCTAAGCAAAAAAAACAAGTGAATATTTGCAAAGGAGAGCAAAATATAATGGACAATGCATTTGCATAACATTTGTAATAATAGATCATAAAGTCGATATTAACATAACTTGACTATCTTCCATTCGTACCCTTTATTTTTTTTCTCTCTGTTCTTTACTCTTGTATGCCTTGAACTCTGTATCATATCACTTCAGATTATCGATAATCTTTGAATGATTAACAGTAGTTGTTCTCTCTGCTCCCTTGTTAATTGAACACTCGTTATTTCTTTGATCCGTCCAGTACTCATCTTTTGAACTTTTTAGTTGACGAATTTCATGGCTACGATAGACCGAAAATGGATGTAGATCATAGATTACATGCAACACCTAGTTTGTAACATAGTGCGGTTTGAAATGAAACATCAATCACATCTGTGTTACGTAACAGACGATACAATCCTTTATTGTCATCCGTCATTTATATTACTTTTTTACGTCCCATTCTCTTTCCCTTACCTTCCCAAAGTTCTTTCTCTTCACAACTTTCATTTTCCTTAATTTGTTCTGTATGAACATTTATATAGGTATATTGTATTTGAACATAATTTTAGACTTGAAAATAGATTTTACGATATAATCACAAATGTAATTTATAAGAGATGTGGACTATAAATCTACACGATGCGATGTACTGCACCATCCATCTTTTATGTTGTGTTATATCTTCATCAAGCATCACTTCCTTACCTTGCTTTGACCAACAAGCACTACTACTTGTGTTTTTTAGGAAGATTTATAAGGAAAAGTTATATAATTTCTCGATGTTGCACTTTGAACATTTTTTTGCGCAAAAAGAATCCAAAAAAGAACTTTCGAGCCTATTTGCTGCAATCCCTTTATTGCGAAATCCATATATACTGTACTTACATAACTATGCAGTTTACGGCGATCTCTTCCTTCGATCCGTGTAGAAACGAGCCTGCGCCCTTTCACACATCCTGTTTATTTTCCTATTTGACTTTATTGCTTAACTTGGTTATATTACTGGCTTATTCCAACAAATTACGGACATTCTTCATGGGATCAGAAAATTTCAAGGTAGAAAACACTTCAGCTGAACAAGGCATAAATAAAATAAAAATGATCTAATGCTCTGCATCGTACTAATACAGTCGTTTTGCATGGGAAATATCTTTCAAGAATTATTTCCCAAAATTCAATCATATTAGTGCTTCTGTATGTTTAGTTGCTCAAGGTAATCACCAGGTCCCTAATATGAATAATATTTGAGGTGATAGTTTAAAATCCAAACGAGCAACCAATCCATTGTTTATGTGACAAGTATTAGCAATTTCTCACAGATGTGTATACACATGCAATTTTTTAGAAGTTACACATTGACTGATATTAAAAGAAAAAGTTCTATTCACCGAACCCTTCAATTTCTCTTAACATATTCTTTTTCAGTATTTTATCCCATAACAACTTTTATAAGCATATATGTAGGAATGGAAAAATTTTGAATTTAAAGTTTCATTTAATGGTGTCATATAAGGAAAAGGAAAAGGTATGCCAATAAACTACATAAAGATTATATATATATATATATATATATATAACTACACCAGTAGACCATTGTTATTTTAAATTTCGTTAACACTCCATGCAATTTTTATTGAAGATTATTCAAATAGGGAAAATCACGGGTATAACAGTACGGTGTAGTAGCACTTATTTAGACATCTTATTGAAACAATCTCGGATAGGATTTTCCACCTCTTTTTTGACTTGTTTTTAGGCCATTCCCATCCCTCATTAACAGCTATTTCCGATTTCGCTACAAAGAACTTAAATTCCGTGTAAGTGCCGCCAACGGTTATTCGCTGCTGTTTCGTTAAGCGGTGATACTAAGATAATAGTAGTTAGTGGTGAGAAGTTGGGAATGCGGTATATTAATGGATTGATGGTGCTAAGATTAATAACAATATGTATAGCCATATTGATAGTGAAAGATTTGGATATAATATACAGCTTGATATGGCTATCGATTGACTCATTGCATATGAAATCCTTTTATGAGAGGTTTGTTATTTGAAGATTAATTTGGGTGAGTAGAGGAGTTTTTTAAAATTGAACTATGTTTGATATTATTCATCACAAATCTTTTAATCCCGAAAGATTAATTTGGTCATCTAGAAAAATTTCTTGACTGTGTCGTTTAAGTTATCCCAACGTTCGCAATATTTTACAGTATACTTCACAAAATTTATCAATGATTAATCTGCATTGTAGCACTACATTGAGAAACGATGTATCTCCGTTAAGCTGGAAGGATGTGGATATATTCTTACCACCAAAGCTCAATAATACAGTAGCCGAGGTGTTACGACTTAACGAATTATTAGCTCATAAGCAGTACAAATGTAAGGAAGACATCTCTGTTGGTGACAGCAAAGGAGCTTTTACGATTTGTATTGATGGAAGATGGAACAAGACTATACGGTCTGTAATTTTCAAAGATAATCATCTGGGTTACGTGAATCTGTTTGTTTTACTTTCATCATTGCCGGATGAATTCATGACGAATTTCGGGTATTTGAAATATTATCTATTGATGGTATAATATTAGAAGGGTGCATAGGGCGATGTCACTTTCTTGGAATTTCATATTCGGCCATTGAAACTGAAGGGTAATATAAGTTACTAATTAAGATTTGTTTATCAAATCCTGTTAAGTGAACCTATTTATTTTTTAGAAGTTATCAAATATGGCACCTCAGATTTTATGAACAAAAACATTTAGCTATTACGGCGAATTCCTGATATTCCAGAAATCAGGTTCATATGTGTTTCTGGTATTTCAGTGATGCGTTGTTCATTAGCGGTTCGCCAGATGATTTTGCTTTCTATTTAACTGCATTATTTCCCGAACGATGGACATTTTTTGTTCCTGAAGGATTTGAAGCACTTGACAACTTGGGGAACGTCGGCAAGTCTTGCCAAAATTACATTTGCAATCTGTTTCACTTTGATTTTATAGAGATGGACAAAGAATGGATTTAGTTGATCCTATATGTTACAGATGCGGAGATGCACTATATGTTCCATCTAAGCAGTAATGGTGTGTGGGATTTTGATGAGATATTGTATGAATTGTCGAATAGACAATTTGATACTGTATTTATCAATTTCTATTCGTCCATTCAGGATGAAAAATTGAAAATGAGACGATCACAGGAACTCCGTGATGCACCCAAGTTAATGGAACGAGTTTTAAAGGTATAATCACTGTTTTATTTTAGCTTTTCATCTGAGATTAGAGTAGTATCGCGTTATTTGAATCCACAATTAAGTTGCAATAATTATTGCAGGTTTTGCAATCGGATCAACTTCACCTGATCATTGAAATAGGAAGAAATATGGAAAATTTAATATATGATTGGTATTTACTGCTCTATCAAATGTACTTCAAATATCATTATGCCCTTATTAAAGCCGAGTCAAGTTCCGCTTGTGACCGTACGATTCGTAGTTGCTGGTATCGACTCAGTTTCATGAGAAAAACACATCATGAAGTGGAATTACCTGTTTTTGGCTTTGGTTAATAGCTTTGTATTTTCGACTTTCATCATATATGATGGCGATGTGTTAGTGAAATGTAGGAACCATATTGCGATTAACTTATAATTTACAGATTTTTACGTATTACTAACCAATCCATCTTTAAGAATAATATATGTTGGTAGCGTTTCCAATTTGATCAGCGGTAGTAGGGTTATAAAGATTAAGAGTGGATCATTTCAGGTATTATTCGACTGCCACAGACATTAAAAATATTAGATTTAGGTTCTCCAGTGGAGGAGAAGAAGCGACTTATGAAGTATCTAACAACGTTTAGAAAGGAAAATGTGGGATGTAATGAAATGAGGAAGACTGAAAATGGTATACCTATGCTGTGCAAGCTAAATATAACGGAAAATCCATGTACTGTTGTTTATGTGAGGTATACATCGTAAATTTCCGCATCATTTTTTGAAATAACGTAATTCTTTGCAGCAGTTATTCTGTGACAAACTTCTATAAATTATGTTTAGTTATCGCGAATTTGAAGTGATGGAGAATTTCGAACATTTTCTTCCCTGTAAAGTTTATTTTTTTTCGCCGCTGAAGTCAAATCAAAGGTAATTCTGTTCAAAAATTGCGTTAATCAGTGCAATGCAAGAAATTATCATTTTCAATTCTCTACCTGTTAGGGATATTCTAATAGTTTGTTTTCAGATTGGTTTCAATCCAAAAGGTGTATCCTTATGGTGTTTCACCATATTTTTCAAAAAACTTCACAGTTTCTGACGATAACGATAGCAACTCATGGTTTTTGATAACTTTGTCAGATATGCTTAATATTGTCAGTGAACTTAGAATAAATAAATTTATTTTGGATCTTAATGGTGGAGAATGGGATGTTTTTCCTTCATTGTTGGAAACAATTCGATTCAAGAACACTGTCCTGGACGTAGATCTCAGAGTTCGGTGAACATTTACAAATGTTATATTAATGATATTTTAAAGTCTTGGAGTTATTTTTCACACAATGGTGGCAATGGAAACAATTTATTGATAAATTTAACAAATTTGCTGTCATTTCCTGAATATTCGAAGTGGTATTTTGTCCATTTTTAGATTTTGGATCGGCGAAGACAATGAAAACTATCGCCGTATACTGATGTATTTCTTTCGACTTGAAAGTTTTGGATTCAAAAAGTTATATTCTAAGATGGTCGATGATACTACGGCAATCGTCAATTTTAGAAATATACTCTTGACTTAGGTTATTGTTTACTGGAAATATGACCCATGTTGCATTTTTGTTTCAAAACTGTAGTTTATTGACTGAAAGAAGCAATAGAAATATCACTGATAAACAGCAGAAAAATTATAACATCCTAAATTCATTCATTATAAATTCTTTTGTTCGCGTGATAGTCCCCATTCCCATTAATTTTCATCGGCTGGAAGTGTTTTAGATGAAAGTGCCGAAATGTTTAAATGGAGTTATAGACACGGTTTTAATTTAGAACTCTTCCACTCAGTCAAAAGAGGCGAATTTTGATTAGCGGTTAGTGTAAAAAATTTACGTGAATGTGATTAATTTGATTTGCAACTGTCTGTCATTTCTCTGCGTTTATTTTTAATTCTGTGTTACATCTGTTTACGGGTATGTTTCTGTGATCCTTTTTCATGTTTATACTTTCAGCATTTAGATATATCATACTCTCTTGTGACTATGCGCTGGTTATGCTGTCTTTCATATATACGATAAATGGCAAAGATAATTCAGATAGTTCTGCTGTATACTGATAATAGCGCCAGTTTTATACATCGATTAATTACAGTAAAACGTAAGTGAAACGCAGATCATAAAATTTGTGATGGAGAGATTTAAATGCCTTCATTTATGAGTAAAAAAAAAAACACCAAGATATAATGAAGGCTGCGTTACCGCTTGGAATCATCGTGATTGGAAAATTCAAGTGGGAAGACTGTTGGTAACTTATAAGAAATGTTTTAACAGAATGATGTTTTATGGCTTTTAGTTTGTTTGGTAAGATATCGTTTAGACGATCCTCATTGTGTGATTCTTGATGCTATTACATAGGAAGAACTGATGGTCATTCGTTATTGCTACATCAAAGATTCGCAAAATGTTGTTTTTCGATCCTCACATGTGGTTGGTTAACTAATGATTTTCTTAGATTTATTAATATTATTGCTATTAATTGAATCATTAATGATATATGATACTGTTATTTTTTTGGAAGGATATCCGTAGTTTTGTAATTAAACTGCAAATTATTCAATGTCAGCTATTCAATTAATATTTATTTGTCATTGTTAAATCTATATTTGCAAAATAAATTTTCCGAAAAGTGTATATTATTGTATATTATTATTCTGTATAGTGTATATTATTCTGTATTGTGATATTAGGATATTTGTACAACATGTTATTACGTTACGTATGTTGATATGACAAAGTCTAACATTCATAGATTTTTTATTATTTGCATGAAGTTATGAACTAATAAAGAAATGAGGGATGCTAATAGATCACTAGTACCTGATGGCTATAATTGCGAAGTTTATGAATATTTCTAGTATCAATGCGACTGAATAGTCTCTCGTTTATTTAGTAGCTGTAAAAAGATGCGGTCAGAAAAATTATCCTGTTTGATATCTCTAAGGAAAATCTTGGATATCATATAGAATTGTTGATGAGGGAAGTCAAATTTTGTTATCCTTTTTTAATGAGAAATTAATTGACGTCACATCTGTCCGCTGCACTTGAATTGATCGCGGGTGTTTATTTCTACTTACATAAAAGATATTTTAAGGTAAGATCAACGCTTCGAATTTTGAAGGTGGAGAATCATTATAACTGTGCGAATAGAAATAATTTTTTCTGAAGACCACGGAATCATTTCATATTTTTGTTTTGTGCTATTTCAGGAGTACATTAAGAGATTTATGTCATTAAAATGTTGGAATCTTCGATTAAATATTTGCTGAAATGATTATATGTAGGCATCCAACTGTTACACGTCCACTTCGATTCAAATGGAAAGCTTTCCTTAGAGAGCATAAATCACGCTATCATCTTACGGTATGTGCTTGCTTCTTGAATTTCACATCGATATTTCGGTGAAATTGGTAGAAAATCAAAGATGGAAATATTGATGAGATGTGAGAGAAATGTACATTCGACATCATTATCTGAAGAAAGTTATTTATAATTCAATGTTATTATAGAAATATATGAGTCAGCAACTCACTTTCGAGAGTATTATACATGATTTCACACAACAGGCTACAGCTGCAGAAAAGGTCAATGACGTTAAAGTAAGCTTTGTTATCTTAGGAATATTTTCAAATGATTTTGAACTATAGTCACTTGATAAGATAAGACGTACGTGCTAAAGATCATTCTACCACGATATTGTTTTCCCTTTGCCACTGACTTTCGAAGTTTGAAGATTATCAGTTCTTATGCTGATTAATTTTTGACTCACTGACTTTACTCTCCATTGTTTATTTTAGAAGTAGTTTAAAAAAGTGTAGAGTTTAATGAAATAGTCATTTAGCATTTGAATGATTTAGCATTTTTTTTAGTTAAAAGAAATAATCACTTCTAAATATCTCCAGCACAGCCGGCAATCGGTAACTTCTATTAGAAAGAGCTCGGAGAGAAGCACAAGATCGGAGATCATTGAATTTCTCGTGAAGTGTGGAATACCATATAGTCTAACTGTAAGTTTATTTAACCATTTTTTGCCTGATTTAAGTAGTATAGTTGTACATTTTTCAGAATAATCACTACTGATGATATTTTTGGTTTTTTGAAATTTCATTGCCTTATAATCTGATCATTCCATTTTTCATTTTTTGGTATAATTAAAGATCCAACAAAAGTGTATTAAAATTATTAAATAGTTTTTTTCTGAGGGTAATAAGAAATTGGTTGAATATTACCTGTAAATTCTAGCCATATTTGGGTGATATTCGCACGAAATGTTTGCACTGCAAGTCGCTGGACACAGCGTGCATTTCGTTTCGTGACACCAGTATAATGTGCACTATATGTGGCCATGCAACTACATTCGACATTTTCAGGGTATTTTTTCTTTTTTGTTTCTAATTTGCTATGGTACCATTCCCCAAGACCATTCCCTAATATTAGTGGATTTCAATGGTGTTTCACCAAATTGGAATTCGTAACTCCTTCTCCCTTCGTTTTGCGTAAAATATTGGAAAATAAATTGTGCTATTTGGACTTATTACGGACTTTTGCAATTCGGATATTAGATTACTTATTTTTTCTTAGAGTAACAAGTGGAATTGGAAGAAATATCTTTATGAGATAATTGCGTCGAATACAAGCATATGATAAATCAGTTCCGAAATGACATGCTACTGATTTTTGTATTTACCCGAGATATGAAAACAAATTTAAGAGATATGAAAACAAAGATAATATAATGTATGCAATAATCAGTCCATATTTATTCCATTGCTTTTTTTAAGGCAAAGCGAAAAACTAGAGTGTGTAGTATTGAGATGAAAATTTGGATTTCCGGACTCATTTCATTCGATGATGGAAACAGTACGTTCCGAGGGAATGTAGTGTGTTTTATTGATATGGGTGGTCGTAGAATTGGTTTGGAATGAAATTGAAGCTCGTAAATATGGACTGATTATTGCATCCATTATGGAAAAGGAAACGTTTGCCCAAGGAAGGGCATTATGTCATTGAATCGTGGATCGATCAAACTGTGCAGTGAGATGTTGTTGATCAATTAGCAAACTCTAAAATGTGGTCCCTTTTGCACTGAGCGATAAACATTCAAAAACAAGCGGTTATTTCCATTATCACTACTTTTTCCACTTATAATACCTTTCTTTTCTAGTTATAGCTAGGGCATTGTCTCCTCTCACATTTAAACTAATCGCTCCTTTGTGAACCAAAATATTTTTGGTCAGTTGTTTGACGATTGAGGAAGGAGTAGGGAAGTAGCACATTCAATCTCTGCTCATATCTGTTCTTTTCTTATTCCAATATTATTATGAATCAGCTTAGTAGAATTCTTTCACCTTGGCTTAAATCTTTTTCTGCCATCCAAAATTCAGGACATAATATTATGTGTTGGTAAGAAAAGGATTGCGGAAGAGAGAGGAAAGGAGTATTTTCTCTTGAAATCTATTTTGAAACATTTCATTGGTTTTATCCACGTATGAGGCATTCATCCATAGCCCATGTTATTGTGAATAACCGTATGTAGTTGATTTGTCAACCTGGCAGACATTTATTGCTAACGCCCTTTTTTTTTTCACTTTTTCCCGAGACTTAGTGAGTGATTGGCTAAAGATGAGAGCGTAGTATTAAGCTACCATTCTTCGTTACTGAAATCGCTACGAAAAATTGCTCCATCTTTTTTACTTAGTCATTTTGATAAAGTCTTCTGAATTTAATTCAGCCTTATCATTCAAGTCTCGTGTTTTGAATACTACAAATAACAGCAATTCAAGAGCGAAAGTTTTTGTAAGTATCCACGGCCATCATATGAGTGAAATTTTAGCCTCAAAATTATCAATTTGTAACGTTTTATTTACCATTATGATAACAAGAAACAGTTATGTGCTTTTTGCAAATTTTTATGATTTCTATAAAGGCAATTTTAGAGCTAGCGCTTAGTTAAAAGGCAGAGAAAAACTAAGAGAAAGAGAGAGGGCATTTGAAAACAGGAAAAAGCTATATGAGTATTACTTCTCTCAATTACTCGTTACTGGCCCCTCGAATAATCCATATGAATTGAGCAATGGAGTATTAATTCTCCTATTACCTTTATCATACCCGGAGCTTCAAATAAAGCAGATGTATCATAAGCAATTAACTGTGAAACTTGTACGAATGAAAATTTCGAGTGGAAGTCATTTTTTTAATTGAATGGTACTGTTTCATCTCTTCCCACATAGTGATTGATTTTAAAATGAAGGAAAAATTTCCAGAAGTTGCTATTGGAAGAGGTCGAACGACAGCCAGTGGAAGAGACAAAACCATTCGTCTTACGTCCATTATTACAAAAAGATCCGAAAGAAGGCACGTGGAAATACGTCACAGCATTGCAAGTACCAAAAGAAGTGGAGGTCACTTTGGAAGAAGGTCGTGGGAAAGGCAACCATTTGCCTGCAATGGACGATGCTAGTCCTATATATCTTTTTTCTTGTTATTCGTTTAAACAGGGAGATGTTTAACGTTGGCAGGAAATTGTAATAAATTTTGAAATCCTAGTTAAAGTGCCTTTTTAAGTTTTCTAACTTTTTTTTAAAATCTTATTGCAAAGCATTTGTCTGTTTAAAATGCTTTTTATGTAATTGGTTGTTTCAGTTAGATTCGGACCTATATGATAAAGTAAGTTATTTGAATCTCATATCTCAATACGAAGAAAGGGAACGTCAAAGAAAAATGAAAGAAGCAGAAAATTTTCGCCTTTTGCGTGAGCAGTAAGTTTTCAAATTGCAGAAAAAAATCTTAAGATTAAATTTAAATTTAAACTCGAGGTCAGAGGCTAACATCAAAACTACACTGGTTAAGGGTATTTGAAGTTTAGGCAGAAAAGCTGTTCTCTTCTAGTTTGTTAAAGATTAAAATTTTGGAATTTTTTCAACTCATAAATTCATTTTCTGGAATTTTCTCGATAGAACTCTGGAATTTTCTCAATAGTATTCTGGAATTTCCTCGATTTTCGGATTTTCCTCGGTATTAGATCATGATTTATATGGAAGATGAGATAAGCACCGGTCAGCTAATAATAGACCAGTTTTGAAATTCCATGCCGTTGATGGAACGATATCATTCCAAAGTTTATTAAAATTAAAAAGATCATATTATCTTTTATTATAAATATTTTACTCGAAGATTTTCATTGATTTTTTAACGGAAAAATAAGTAGAATATCTCAATTACGGCTTCTTTTCTACTCAATTTTCGATTTCTCTCTGCTGGAGTAATCTTACTGCAGTTAATTCTAATGACCTATATACATTTGGACTCATTCATTTATTCAAAAATTTGTCCTTTAATCGTAAATCTTGCAAAAGCACATTGAGGAACCGATTATATTCTATCAGTTGCCAAATTTTGCAGTCTAACGGTGCTTTAGCTTTTTCCTTTTCTTCCCATAATTTTTTTTGAATAGTTCATTCATTTGACTAAGAGAGGTGGTAAGCATAGGTCCAAGAAAAGGACAAGTTACCAGATTTCTGATTCGTTCATTTTCTCTTGCCAAAAGAGAGATTGCAGCTATTTCCCCTTCCTTCTTTCACTTTCTCCGCTTCTTATTAAAAAGCTTGAAAGGATATTCGAATTGCCTTCCTTTCCGCTTTTCTTTCTCTTTTTTTTTGTTGAGATTTTCTTGCTTCTGTTTGTAAAAAATCTCTATGAAAATTATGTGCTATTCGGGATTTTGAAAATGATATTAAGAGAGCTGTTTTATTTTCAACAAAAAAAATTTCGATAATTTTGGAGGAATATTGATATTGACAGGAAGTTAGCTGGTAGTATGAATTGTATTATTATTTATAAAAAAAGAGTAGTTGTGAGAGCATAATGATTCATTCTGATAAATGAGAAGATCAGACAGATAATTGGCATTAGTAGCCGGTTGTTATGATTAATAGAGAAATTCAATTGAAATAGTTGAAGCGAGAAGCTAACATAGCAAAGAAATTTGTTTTTCTTTCTGATTTCATTACCTGTAGCTTTTATTCAACCTTTTATGTCTCTCTTTACTTCCTGAATCGAAATTTTTCCATAACAAGATTTTCCATTTCTCGAATTTATGATTTTATTTCCTTTTGGGATAGGGAATCCAGAGGAAAGGAAGAAAATTGGTTTTGCGAATTTAGGGTTGAATTAGACTTCCAGTCTTTCAGTGGGCAATGAACTGCTACAAGGGGTTTCTTTATTAAAGTGCGGTTAGTTCCTACCCTTATCGGAATTTCAAGTATCGATTTTCTGAGCAGTTCTTTTTATTCATGTCCAGTACAGTAACTCTTTAGGGTACACAATATTCCATCTTTTTGTCACTAATTATATATATTATGGTAATTTTTAACTCATGGTAATTTCCAACGTAGGACTTATTACCGTTATTCTTTTTGATTTCTCTTTGCATATTTTTACAGGGCTGATAAGATATCACCGCGCATATTTGACGACGATCACAATCCAAAACATTCTTCCGATGCTGCAGGTAAACCTTTTTTAATTCTTCTGTTTCTCAAAATTTTATAAAAGCTTTAGCAGTTTTAATTTTTGAAATTTGATTTTTCTGTTTTCTCCTTGACTGTATTAAGTCAAGTATCTGAGGACCAAATGATGTATGCCGTTTCAAGCGCGCTATTTGGATTTTAAATGTATCTGATACAAAAAAGCAAAAGTTAGTTTGACATGATTCCACTCTTTTTTACTGAGATTGGCCATTTAGAATAAACCTTTTGAGATCTATCGAGATGTGCCAAACCTATTTAAAATCATGAATTAGCATCAGCGAATACAATGATCATTTCAGGTCCGATGAATATGTCTTCTGACCCGACTCTTCGATTGATATGGATGGATGCTATGGATTTGCGTGAATTACAGGACCACTCCGAACAAAGCGAATTCCTAGTGCTCAGAAGACTTCTTGGAATTGATGTTGGTATCTTCCTTACTAAGTTTTTTTCATTTTATTTATCAAAAGGTTACTCCATTTATCAGTGACAATAAGGAATAATGAATTATTGTAACAACACATTACATGGACTTTCTTTGGAAAATCAAGTTATTCTTTTTATTATCTGTGATGTTAAGTTTACCATTTGAGTAACTGCCATAAGTGCCTATCTAGCTTAGATTTACTAATATAGCACGCATAAAAATTCATTTATTAAAATAATTATTCTGGGAACGGATTATCAAATATTGTTCCATTTGCTTATCTATTTTCTGACACGTTTTTTCCCCTCGTACATATAAGAATTTTTTCTCATTTACGGCTGAAAGCTTTATTTTTTCAGCGAATATCGTATGATACCCTTTCGCGATATCACATTAAAGGACATTTGGATAATTTTATGAGGGCTGGATTATGTTATCCAAGATATCGAGGTATTTTCTTTACAGCAAATGCGAAGTCGTTAATTGGTTTAATGTCGCCATTTCTTCTAATATAATAAATATTTTTCTTTTCTCTTATAGGACCAAGCAGTCGTGTGCGCTTACCAGCGGGGTTAAAAGTTATTCGAAAATTGGGTAGTGATTGCCTGGAGAAGGAAAATTATCCTGGATCGGATAATGAAGGGTAGGTGATGAGAGTGCTAAGAAGATACACACTTTTCTAAAAATTATACTTTATCAGAATTCATTTCATTTATTTTAGATGAGATGTTCATTGAATATTCGCATTCTATTGTAGGTTGTTGCAGAAAATCATCGTTTTCGGGAATTTTTGGCTATCACTTGGTCACTGCATCAGATCGACGTATTATACTGACCACTAATGAACGTGATACTCTGGCGGTATTTGAAGCCACCGGTGGAATGCTATGTATAGCGCTGCCCAAGGGTGAACAATTGGATACAAGGTTTTTTTTTGATGGTATATCTTGCTTCATAACCCTTCCTTTTGTTTCTCTCCTCTAAGAATATAAACATATTATTTTTTTTCCAGTGTTCTTCCATACTTGGAAGATTTCGATATGGTTTACCTTTGGTTTCCCTATGTTCAGGAAAAGTATGCGAAGGATTATGCATCATTGTTGAATGCTAATCGTTGCTTTATCGTTGAGTAAGTTTATCAAATTCCATCTTTTAATCTTTCCATCTGATATAAGGGTGTCACTGCCCACCTCACAGAAGTAATTATAAGAATGATTTTCTGGCGAAGTTCGGTCTATGGAATTCAGTCCCACATAAAAATCTGCGTTATTTTTGTTTATCCAACTACTTTTCCTTTTCAGCAATCATGAGCGCCCAATTGAACTGTTACGTTCTGATCGTAGACGTGAAATTAATAAAGCAATTCGAGAGGAGTCAATTCGTTTACGTGGCAGAGGATTTCGTTCATTAATTGATGTACGAAGTGAACTGAAGTCCGAGCTGGTTAAGGATCAGATGAAAATGAATGGCGTTGCACAGGTGATTCTTAGTATAGCGATACTGAGGAGAACAGTCGGCTAATTTAAATTCTGTTAACTTTGTGCCGTTTTCCTAATATTTCTTTTTTAATGGATTATGTAGGTATATAGGATTATTCCATTTTCATTTTTCAATATTTTAAGTGGAAACGATTTGATTTGCTGAACCGATTCATGCGTGGATTTCGACCTGGAGAAATGACTGTTATAACGGGAGGTACGGGCTTCGGCAAGACAACATTTCTTTGCGAATATGCTCTTGATCTTCTTGTTCAGGGGGTTAGTGCTACTGCATTTCATATTTTCTATTTGTTCTATGATAAGTTATAAACAAAAAGATTGTTTGTCTTTAAACAATTTTGGTCAATTCTTTACTTGTTCGGTTACAGGTTCGTACTTTATTCTGCAGTTTCGAAATGCCGGATGAAAAAATTCTGAAATGGATGCTCGTGCAATTTGCGGCGTAAGTTTTTCTAATATTTATTTTCTGCTTGACTCGTTAGGGGCGTGATATAAGCGAATATGATGACTGTGAATTACCACTCCATATCTAGTATTTATCCAAGTTTTGCGTGAACTGACATACGATAACGTCTTGCCAGTATAGGGTTTATAAGAGGAATAAAATTTCCTTCATTTAACTTAATAGGAACAACAGTTATAATGATTCGCTGTGTTATCTCTTGTTCTCGAGATTATTCAGATTCAGAGAACAAGTGATAACATTGACTAAAAATTATCTGTGTTATATGAGCTATTAAAAGCGAAAAATAAATAGGTCACAGAATCATGCAAAGTAATGCAATTAACCGTGTAGTTTTGTTAGACCAGCACATCTTCGGAGTATGGCGAAATCTCGAACGGTTCATAATGGAGTGAAGTAAGCGAGTTATAATGATCTATATATGTATAGATTATTATAGCTCTACCTATATATGATTTACCGTATCACTTCTATGTGCATTACCACCCATATTTTTGCTTGCTTTTTATCTCAAGATTTTTGTCATCATTTTTGAGATCATTTGACGCACACTGTTCGCATCATAAGGCACTATGATAGTAATCCCAAATTAACAGGAAGGTATAGAATTGGAGATGGAAAGATTTAAGCTTAGTATGTTTATAAAGTGAGAGAATTACATTTAGTGGCGATGCAGTGGACGTCAAATGCATATTTGTGGTGTCATATGAACGTGGTTAGTGGCTTTGCTGTTCTCGACATGCATATATGCATTTCATGTTCCACTGTGCGTTACTGTTATGGTCTTTTATATTGGTATCTTCACTGTTACAAACATCTTCATTTTTCTTTGCAGGTTACCTTTGTACAAAGTAGAACATCACCCAGCCGTTGAACTATGGATTGATCGTTTTGAACGAACTAAAGGAGAATTGATCATTATGAAAGCGGATGAATTCCGGAACCGTTCCGTCAGTCAAATAGCCAGTGTATGGGTGCTTAAAATTTAAAATTCTTAGTTGTCTAAAATGAGTTTTTCTATATTTCCTGGTGACTCTAACAGAATGGAGGCCTAACTAAACATCAGTTGCTATTCAACTGATGTCTCTAGAATCACTAAGAAACATAAAGGATGTATGAACAGTTTTTTTGAGTCATTAGGTTGTCATGGATTATTTGTAAGTATCATTCCATTCGTAATCTTTTGGTATTGATTAAGATGAAATATTCTTGTTTTTGTTTTATTAAATCAAAATTTGCTTACTGCAGGCTATCAGAAATCAAGTTGTAGCAGGTGAAATCGAACATGTTGTCATTGATAATTTACAATTTCTAGTAGGTCTTGCAATTCTGAACGATGAAACAGCGAACTCATTCGAACGATTCCATCAACAGGTTTTATCTCATCGTTTCAATTCCCTTAAAGTTTCAGTGATTCACCGAACAGTTTCGAATGCCTTCAAAATACACCAAACCTTTTAGGATCGCTTTATTGGTTTGATGCGAAGTATTGCCACTGATTGCATGACACATATCACAATGGTAGTCCATCCTCGAAAAACTAATGTAAGTGATAGCTAGGAACTACTTATTTCAATATTTTTCGTATCTTCGCAAATATACACTTTGAAAGATTCAGGGAGATCTCCATTTTTAATTCTCCTGTACTGATTTATAGAGTGGCGAAGATCTCGACATACATCATTTCGGGGGTTCAGGGCGAGTTACACAAGAAGCAGATAATATTTTTGCAATACAACGAAGACGAGATGAAGCCGATCGACGTAGATTTCGTAAATTTTTATATGTAAGTTTTCTAGGAATAAAAATAGTCCTACAAAAAATCTGCGTACTGTTTATGTATAGAACATATTCGTAATGCTACTTTTGAGCCTTTACTGAGAGGTACCATTGTATATTGAATAAACAACTTGAGATATTGTATCCTTTTGTATATATCTTTGTTTATATTACATATGCTGGTAATTGTTAAATACTGCTTACCAAAGCGATATGTCATTATAACAGTATTGCTTACAAAAGGAAACAGTCGTTATTTTGACCAGTAGATGTTCTGGGATCAATGTTTGACTATTGTCATAAACTAAATTCCTCAGCGGAAGTTGCATTTTAATGAATATTCAGTGCATAATAGTAACAATGTATGCAAATTAAATGGCTGGAAATTTTGTCTAAATTTTATGATAAACAGACTTGTAAATTTCCGTGAACCTGCTATATTTCCATCTGCTTTCTAATATACTTAACATTTGATTTGCAGATTTTGAAGAATCGATATGGTCAGAGAAAAGTTGAGGATGATATGATTGAGATGATCTTTCAACCAGCCACATACACACACACGTTGGTTGACCTATCTGTAGGTCCGCTGAGCTCATCCTCCAAATGATCTTCCATCTCTAAAAGTCTTCATTCCCCACTGCCATAATGTTGGAAACTCTGCTGCTGTCCATAAGTCTAAATTTCATTCCCATCGCCAGCTATGGCAAGCCGAGCTTGTCAGCTTCAATCGCTATCGTTAGTTAACACGGCGAGACTTTAATTTTATAAGAAAAGCTCATATTTGATTGTCTCTTTTGTTAAGATTCTTTAAATGTACCCATATAATGTTTTGCATATGCGTTTACACAGAGCACGTGACCAAATATACATAGTGTCTATGTTATTTCCATCATTATTTTTCTAAAATTTTCTACACAAATGGCATCGTATTATTTTGAAGTGTGGCAAGCTTTGATGCTTCGCGTGATTTTGGCTTTCATTCTGTATGCATCTTTTTCGTCGACACACACAATATTTCAGACACGGAACCAAAATATAAGCATGATTTCTTACTTGTGGCTTAATGATAAACTTTAAACCTTGACTTCAAACTTCTGACAAATGGGTCGAACTAAAGAGTCGATTAGCTCTTTCCAAAAAGCTCGCTTTTTGTGGAAAAGCATACTAAAACTATCCGGATTGCATCATCCTTGATTGTTTGTTAGCTGAAAACTGAAATATAGAGCTCGACTTTGTATCTGCGTTCTTTCGTTTTTATTCAAAATTTAGTAGGACAACGTCGTTATTGACCATAATAAGGTCAACTTTCTCGTTTTATTTGTGAGGCCGCAGAAGCAGTACTGGTATATTCGGTTTTACGGATGAAATAATGGTACAATTGATTCTGGATATGTACTTATTCCGAGTATTTATGGTCAATAAGTATGTTTTATGACTCCATCTGCGATGGTAGCAGCGCTTTCTTTCATCTCGTAACTTCTTCTGTGAGTAAAAATAAAACTTTAATTGCCGATGTGCACGCAAGAAAAACGAAAAAAAGACGTGAGTTTCATAAGCGAAGACCAAAGTTTTCCCACTAATTTTTTCGGGAGGCTTCTGGAAGAGAGGATAGGGAAGAAATTAGGGAAATGAGTGAAACGTATCGAATCATTCGTGGTAGATGTTGCAGATTATAATTATCCTGTTATATCCAAATCTTTGGTAAGATATTCAAGATGCATTCTACATTCACAGTTTAGTCTACCCGGAATGGATTATTAACTTTCCGAAAGTGCTATCGTGTGACCAAATGAATAACCTTGAAATAGTTCGGGAGGTCTGTTCAACATTTTAGATTAGGGTAAGTTCAACAAAGAATACCTGCCATCTTTTCACGGTAGCCTAGGAACCAACCTCCTCCTTCACCATTTCTCTCATATGCCAAATTTCTCTTTAATTGAGGGAGGCTCGAAAGTTGAGTTGGGAGTACAGCAGTGTTAGAGATTGTGGCAATTGAGGAGACCTGGTGTCACATGTGTGGCGAAGATAATTTCTGAAGTGCGGATTATGCGGGTTGTGCATATTGTGCATTAGTGAAATCATTGCGCTGGAGGAATGTGTGCGCCATCTATTTTCATGCTTCTTGCCACCTGTTCTAATTATCCTTCTCTGTACCGTATACTCTTACAAGCATAATATGTTCACATATCGTTGAACTTGTCGTTCTCTGTACTTTGCACTCTTGCACGCATAATATGGTCACGTATCGTTGAGTACTTAATGCCAGTTTTACTTGTCATAACTATTTGGACGTTTGTGTACATCAGATTTATAAGAGTTGAAAGTAAATAAATTCCAACAGTGATGCAAGGAACTCTTTCGGAGTATGTACGTACGTTGTTAATAACGTAGCTATGCGTAAGCTAGCTATATTATTAACAGCGTGCTCACCATTAGCTCCCTAACCCTAATAATACTTCATAAATACGAAAATAGAAATAAATGGAATAAAGAATTTATGTAATTTATGTATATATGAAATGAGGGCTTCTTCAGGTGAAGATGGATGAATCAAATTCGATGGGTGAACATCGAGAAGTTGCATCAATTACTGACACGTGTTCTACATCAAGGGATGATAAAATTGGTATATCAATGAAATGTGTAGCGGCGCGAATCGAATATCTGAATTCACAGTTTCTTGTGTTTGATGCTAGTGGTAAGTAAATAGTATATGTAATGCTCATGTGTGAGACGGGAGATTCTCCAAGGAAACCGTTCATCTTGCGTAACTTTCTCGGAGAAAAATATCTGCGCGGCAGAGACAAAAACTGACCACAAAATTGTGGCTGACTACTAAGGTATTAGGCAGATGTGGAACAAAAATGTTCCGTTTGTTTTCTTGCAAACATTTTGATTTTAAATACTGTTTGAAATCATTCTCTAAAAATTTGCATAAATTTTGAAGTAGCGGAACAAATGATGAGAGAATGTCGTATTATCGCCGAAGCATGTGGTACTTCTCCCGATGCACGCGCTGATCTTCGGAAATACGGAGCTCCGTTCGTTTTAATGCCGGAACAAGTGGCTGTACTTGTTGAATATGGTTAATATTTCTTATCTCTGATTCGACCGAAAAATAATATTGTTCTCTTCTTCGAAAAAAGAAAAAACATGTTGCTAACTGACTTTAGTAAAAAACTTTTGCAGAATGGCTTTAGAAACTCACTTCATAATTGAGGAATTTATTCATACTGTTAACAATTAATTGTGTCATCTTTTGGGCTTGCAAAGGTTGTGCAACTGAAGAGTAGTACAGAAGATATTCCTACTGAAAGAAGAGATGCCGAACATTCAAGAGTTCATTCCACAAAGCTGGATGATGTAGCATTAAGGAAAAAAGCCGAGATGATAGCGAAAGGTCGGAAGGTAAAAAAGCTGAAACGTCAGGCTAATCGCGGAGCTACAGCTGCAGCTCTGAAGGTACTGGATAAGTTTTTTTAACCGCAATTATACTAGCTCAAATTGAATATGACACTTTTTATTATGTTTTATATGTCAAAGTTTATTTGTCCCCTTTGTCTTATAGGGTAGATTAATTTTCATCGCAGAGTGTTTTATATTTCCTATTCCAAATCGTTTTCAAATAATTCAAACAACCGTAAATTATCTTCAGTATTTTATCAATCTCTCTTAGGAAATTTGTTTGTTTTATTTTGAGATATATGAAATCGGATTTTGTGCAGAATTTGCTTTTACATAAAAAGTATCGCATATTTTGAAGTCTTCGGTGGTTTTTGAGGATAATATCCTTCAAAATATATAGTTCACTTTTGAGACTGTTTCTACGACCCTATTATTATTGAAGTTAATTCTGTTCAGTTGAGAATTCTTTTTTGAGATATGCACTAAATGTTCTACTTACTTTAGTGTATCACTAATTAAGAATTAAGATCTATAGTCGCTTATTCAAATGTTTGACCATCATGTTCTTTGTGATTTCCAATATTCCCTCTTTATTCTGAGTAAGGATGTTGTTGCTTAATAAGTTCATGCTATGTTTGCGTACCTTCTGGCTTTTTTCATTGCAGTGAACCGAGACTGAGCTTTGCAAAACAATGCCGTACAATGTGTTTCAGGTTCGACGTTGTGATATTGTTAATGTGGAAGTTACAGCTTCCGAAATAGACGATACAGTGGAGGAGCTATCGAAGTCTGACAATATCCCTAAGCAAGAGGATACTTGGTTTCTTCCGTTGTGTGAGTTATCTCAACTTTATTTTCGAACTGAAGGCGATATCTTAGTGAGATGTATAGAGAACTAGGAGTTTTCTTGTTAGTCCAATTAAGTTTTATAACCTCTTTCATATTTGATGGCAAACGAAACTGAAAAAAGATCTTGTAGTTTTACATTAGTCATATGTTGTACGATATACCTATACAGATGCTAGCAGTTAGAGATTGAAATCTTAAAGCTGTTTGTTGAAAGCAGCAATTTTTCTTTTGGAACTAACTTCAGCTATTGTGTTAATACGTTCCTATATGCAGTATTTGGTGGCTTCAACGGCATGAAAACGAAAATCGAATTAAGGAAAAAGACGAATTGCGCTCTTACTGAGATCTTTATGCTAATCAAGGGTAGCTAAAACAGCAAAATTGGATGATCCATTTTCTTGTTATCAAAATACATCATTTACAGATGATACTCGTGAGGAAGCATATGAAGAAATAGAAAGACCACCGCTTCCTAAAAGTTCGGTTTTCCGAATTAGGTTGAACACATTTCGTGATTTATGGCGCAGAGGTTATTATTTAACATGTGGTTTGAAATTCGGATGTGATTACCTTGCTTATGAATCTGCTCCTGGTGAGGTCAGTTAGTACCCGTGCTATTCTTTTGCACCTTACGCATTAATGTTATCTCTTATCTAATATTATTTTCAGATGAAATTCTTTAACTTCTATCATTTCTTACTCTCTGATTGATAAGTCAATATTGTTCTTGATGTCATACTTTTTTCAGGATCATTCCAAGTGGTTAGTGAAATGTGTGGATTCACAAGATGCTTTATCTTCCTTAGATCTTATTGCACTTTCAAGGCTTTCCTCTCAGGTGAAGAAGCATGTCTTGCTAGCTGTTGTCTCACCTGACACTTTATCACCTTACTATATTGAATATTCCTGGTGGAAACCCCAGCGATCTGGAAATGTATAATAGCGGTGGCTACGAAGTTTAATGGAATGCAAACTGTCAGATTACAACTAGTGGACCATAGAGATGGCCAGATGAGAGAAAAAGTAAAATTTGAGGACTAACAAAGAATAATTCTTGTCTGCATAGCAGTAATTCAAACTTATTCATAATCTCTTTCTCTGCTCTATCATAGAAACTTCTGTGTTGTTACCCATTTTATTGCATTTTTAAAAAATTTTTAATTTCTCTGTTCTTCCAGATTTGTTATTTTATTATTTTCATATCTTTTTATATCATAAATGTAGTATCTTGCATTTATTTGTTTGCAAATGCAGAAGCTAAGTAAATGAGTGCGGAATTTGGAGTCGTTACTTTGGAGTGTTCTTTTCAGTAATAATCTGATGTTGCACATGTATTTCTGATGATAGCAATTTCTCAACCATAATGGAGAATTTTAAATGTAGTTTTTCACCTACCTTTTCTTTCATTCTTTTAATATAATATGAAGTAACAGAAATATATTGACTAATTTTCTGTGGGATTTTGGTGAATTGGACAATTAGCTGGAAGTAAGGAAACTGTGATCATATTTAGGCAGTTCACTGTATTGATAAATTGGGATAGAAAAGTGAAGAGGGGGAGAGATATGATCTTTCTAATGTTTCTTCAATAGAAAGTTTTAAAGTAAGTTTAAAGCAAGTTCGTTGCTGATATCGCAAACTAAATAGCCTTGTTATAAATGTTGGTTCAGTTTCAGGGTTATCATTTTTTCTTGGCATGCGGTAGCCTAACATTTCATTGAAATGGTAAGTCTTTTTTATGTGGGAGGGGAAGAGGAAAAGGAAAGTCTTAAATTCTTCCTTATAAAAAGGAAAACCAATTTGTATATGTGGGGAATTGCAAAAAAAGATATTGGAAGTGTTAAGCTCTAATTCAGATGTTATTTTGCAGCTATTTTATTCATTTTTCAAATCACTGGTTGGAAAAGATGTGGTGGTGGAATTGAAAAATGATTTGAGGTGAATTATTTTGAAATCGGTCTATACAGCTTTTTTTGGTTATTTTTGATTTCTACTTTCTTGGTTACCTTTGAAGGCTAGGAAATAGCTAGTTGATACAAATAGTATCAGGTGAATAGAAACCTTCTTTGCGTTGTTTTAGCATTCCACTACTGCTCTTGTGGAGTTAGAAGAAAGATGTGATATTTTCATTGCAGTATCTGCGGTACATTACATTCTGTGGATCAATATCTAAACATGAAACTGACGGATATCTCAGTGACCGATTCAGAGCGGTACCCACATATGCTTTCCGTCAAAAACTGCTTCATTCGTGGATCCGTGGTACGGTATGTGCAACTGCCTGCTGATCAAATAGACACCCAGCTGCTGCAGGATGCAAGTCGGAAAGAAGTTATGCAAGCCAAAAGATCCGCTACAGCCTGATTCTTTTTGTATGATTTTATTAAGTAATGGTTGTCTTGACTTTACTCTGCTTACGCATTTGCTTTTTCTGTAAGAAACATTCTTGAGTCAGAAAAAATTAATACTTTTAGCTTGCATTTGGAGTCCAAAATTTTCCTTTTTATTACGGAGAAGTTTTTTGAGCCTTTAGTCTCAGGGGTTAACGTCCCATCTCTTTTTTTATTCTAATTTTATCTTCTCTTTACTGTTTGTCGGTGTTGTTGGAAAATAAATCTGTTTACATAACAATTTTTGAAACCGTTCGTTTTCTGCAAAATATGCGCAACATCCCATTCCAGTTCCTCAAATTGACAAAAGACACATAGTATGTGAAAGCTGAACAGTCTGTCAGAATGCATAAGGAAGGAGAAATCGACGGTGGTAGCTGTATAGATGAAATATATGCATGCCGAATAACAATTTTTCGAAACCTTGAGGGTAAGATATTCTCCGGGATAAATAACCTGATGTTAGGTAAAATGTGTTACAATCCTTTTGATGTTTACGGTAATAATTTTTTTTGGTCTGATATTGTCCAATGAGTCTAACAGCGAGGAAATGAACGCAGCATAAGAAAGGTACTAAATTAATAATGCTTGGGTTGTCTCTTAGGAAGGATGGTAAAAGTTCGCTTCAGATTGCGAAAGCACTCATCTCTGATGTCTTAGTTTGATTTACCTCGCTGATGTATTCTACCAAATCTCTTTATTTTCATTAAATTAGGTTAGTTTTATCAAATTGCAACTTTCAACAAGGTTTTGTTTAAAAGACTTCTGGATTCTATAAATATTCGAATTGGTAGCCCTGCCTTAGACGCTTTCTTTTCTCTGTCACAACATAATTTTGATGGGTGAAATGAATTTCAACTTTAAAAATACGATTACATTTTTCATTAGGAAATCTCTACAAGAGTATGCATATTATATTTAGTCAATGTTACAACATAATATCTCATTTGTCTTTTACAATATTAGTAGAAATAAAATTTTAAAAAAAGCGAATAAATTGATATCACTTATTGGCAACAATAGTTACAATCACTAATCGTGCAACTGTTATTATTGAGTGCGATATTAAGAACAATGATGATTATAATAACTAAAGATAATCATTGTTAATGATTATCTTAACAATCAAACGATAATTTGGAAAGAATTAAGTAGGAAATATATTGGATTTTGTTTGGCCAATATTACCAATGTTATTCGGGATCAATCAGCTTTTAATATTATTAGCATTGCATCGCTATAAATAACTGTGATATGCTTAATAATATAATGTTTTGCACAAATGATGAAGTATTTGCCATTTGAATAAATCGATATATTAATAAGTGAAATTTAAGTAAGATTAGATTAATAACTTTCTAAAATGGAAAATTCCCAATTTATATCATTTTGAATTATGAAAAATGAATCATTTCGTATTTTTCTAAATTTGGCATTAACATCTGAATATGCAAGTAGACGGAATAGAGAAGTACTATTTATAATATGTAATATTTGTCTGTATGGTAATATTTGTATATTTGTATATTAGAATCGCCCATATTGATTTGGAAATTATGTGGCTGTCTTTACCGGATATGCAAATTTAGGAGTGTATTTCTTTCTACTGAAAATGCGGAAAATTTTCAAACGCATCTGACAATTATTGCTACAGTTATAGCAATTACTGATCATCTCCGTTTAACTTAAAATACCGATCATGAAGGTAGCAAATCTGTCACCAATAAAGTTAATTATGAGCGAAAAGAAAAATTCACATATGAAAAATATCATGAAAAAGGATTAAAAATGTCTACGATAATATATAACTTGCAGTCAAGCCTATTTACTGGACAATTTGAACTATCGGGCTTGATCGTTAAAGCTTACTTTCTTTTTCATTTATAAGAATTGGATTAATTTTATTATCATGCTTTATTCCTTCACCTAATTGTTTTTTCCTAACTTTCCATACATCCGTCATCTTTATCATTTTAATCTTTTTATTTTCACTGTGCATAATAGAATAACTTCGATTTTCAACAAATTTGCATAATTACCATTTTTTTTCTTTGCAACAAAAACTATCTTAAATATATTACGCGATCGCAAGCGTATGAAACAACTGATGAAGTATTGGAGGAAGCGAAAGAATATCAAAACACAAAAATTAGTTGACTTTTCCCAAAGTAAAGATAAGAAGTAATAATTATTGCTTCTTTTGAAAGATGATTAAAGCAGAAAATAATTACAAATACGATGAAGTCGAAGAGATGTCTCATTTTTGAATTCTTAATTTTCATTGTTAAGCTTATTTCTATTAGGATACTACTTGGCAAAATAAAAAGCTGGTCATTGATTTGGAACCTGTCAATCTCTAAATGCATGTTGCATTACTACATGCAAAATGTAGCAAAACATCTAAGTATAGATATTTGCATGAAATGCAGGATATGCACATGTTTGCGCAGAAAATTAATATTTCATACATTGTATGCATGCTAATTATATGCAATGCATACTTCCAATATCATCTTGTAGTTCAGGAACAATTTGTTTCAAGTTATATACAGTAGCTCTGGAAATAAATTAGGAAATTTTGTCTTTCAAAATATATACAGTAATCTTGCAGTAGATCCTACCATCGGAAGAGATAGCATACAGAATACAGTAATTTTGCAATATATTTTCTGCCAAGATGAACGAAAATATGGTAATCCTGGAATGCATTCCATTTTCGAAATAGGTGGTATGAAGGATGCAGTAATTCCGGAGTACATTCCCTTGCCAGGATGAACAGAAATACAGTAATCCTCTAATATAGTTCCAGAATGTTCCAGGATTTCTGCAATTGCAGTATATGCACGTACGCTATTTAACTAATTTGCATACAGCATGAGATCATGACATGACGTTCAGGCAGAAACATTCCATTCGGTTATTTGTCATCACAACAATTGGTTGGTTGTTATTGTTGCTTCAAGGTATAACTTAGCGATTATTAACGTGGGATCGTGCGTCACATGCATCTCTATATTACATTTTATTGCAATTACTTCTTGCGTTTATTATTTGCTTATACCGGCGGAAAATTGTATACGATGATCAAATAATCATTACTTATGCTACCATTGATTGTTAGATGCATTTGTATTCTTATTCCTATCACGTTCACGTTTCACATGTGGAAATGTAAGCATTCCAATGCGTAAATTTAATTTGTGGGATTTCATCCTTACACATACCTTTGACTCATCCGCATGATCTACGTGTTTTGCATAAGTCATTTCTCTGTAATTTATACGTTTCCTTGACATAGTTATGAACTGAGCATTAAGTTCGGAATTTGAAATCATCGATAACTTTGTCGAATACTACACTGCGAGATCACCATCTTTACAAGCATTGTTCATTAAAAAGGCGGGATGAAGTGCAATATACAGGCCAAACTTTTTGGCAGTATTTATCATCAGTTGATGTTTCTGATAAAAAGCTTTGAAGTGGAGGGAGATAAGTCCTAATAAGAAAAGAAGTAAAGTCTAATAAGAAAATAAGAAAAGAAGGAAGCTATTACTGTGTAAGGAGGAAGATAAAACAGGTTTGAAGGATGTTGATTTGGGCATAAGGATGGAAAAGATGAGTGAATGGTATTTCAGTTGGGATATTAAAAAAGTAACTGATCATTGCGTTTAGGATAGCAATGTAGTAATCCTAGTTTATTTATCGAGAATAAAAAAGTTGGTTCATAATGAGTCAGTTAATGGATGAGTGTGCATGCGCATGTATTGAATTGCTTGCTTCATTTCATTTGTTTGTTATTCGTATTGTGCGAGTTGAGAAAAATTGTAGAACAATTCATCCACAACGTATCGAAACAACAACAACAACAACAACAACAACAACAACAACAACAATAATAACGATATCATAGTGAGAGGAGCAAGACAGGTGACAACGCGACACGATACAGAGGAATCATGTCATCCAACAAAAAGTACACCGCACCATTAGCTCGAGATACGCCACCCCCACGAACTGTGAACTTCAATGAATTGAGTGGTGGCAAGGAAGGGGCGCGTGTCTCCCTAAGTGTGGAAGAGCTCGCATTATTGGATGAAATTAAACGTCGCGGAAGAGCCAGTTCTTCCACCGTAAGTTATTTGGTTTTTATCGCAGAAGTAGCAGTGAAATATCACACTGCTATTACTGTGCACTATAAAGAAGTTCAATAGACTTCACTGTTGCTTTAGAAAAATTTTTATGAATCCGATTTGGATTGGCGTAATATGATGTATCAAGGAGAACATATGAATTTAATTTGAATACGAATTTGTAATACAGGCTTTGTAATACACAGGTAATATTTTAATAGATATTCTTTGCCTTAGGGCGTGCGAACAGGGAAGATCAGTGTTTCGGAATTAATGGGATGTGGCGATAAAAACGCTGATAAGAAGAAACGAAAAAAAGATCGAAGCGGGTCGGTAATGACTACTGAGTGCAATAATGACTATCATAACCGTGCGCCGTCAATGATTGAAACATCAAGTCACGGAATATCGGTCGATCCTGCCACTCTTCTTGATGTTGCGGGATGGAAGATTCCTCCACTACCACCAGGACTTGTCTCAATAAGTAGCTTCTTCAGTTATATGTTCAACTATTTAGTGGTCACGAAATAAAAATAATTAGCCTTAATTAATCATTTTTATTAGAATTAACTGTAATTACTCTCGGAATAACTCCGAGATTTGTTATTCAGGATTCCCACAGAACAGTGCTGCGTCCATATATGGAACTTTTCGAAAGAAAATAACGCAAGTTATTAGCAAAAAAAAAATTGCCCTGATATTTTTTCGTTTCCTTTATAGCTCACGAAGCAGATCGTCGTCCATATCCATCACCTCTTCCCACATGTATATTTGAAAAGGCGATGAAAGCAGCTGCAATTGTTCACACCGGTTCACAACTGCCACCTTTATCTGCCGGACATAATTCTGCTGGTATAGTTATCTTTTAAAGTGGAAAAAAAACAATCGGATTTGATGTCTTCTTTCAAATTTTGTTAGATGATAAATTCTACTAGATGCAAACAAATATTATCAATTAAGAAATTGAAGAAAGTGGAATTATCGGATAGTTTTCAAATATTTCGATTAAGAATTGGCTTTCGGCAGTGCATTTTACTTGTATGTTTAAGGCGGCAATAACGGAGTAGCAGCACACAGAAATACGATTCACTTACCACCATTGGAATTGATTCGGTTATTGCCACCACTTTCCCCAATGTATCCATTGATTTCAAGCGAGACGCAACGAGCGGCAACACCGGCGTCATCGGGACATGGTATCTTTGTCCATGGTTTGGGTCCTCAAAGACAAGGTAATAGTTATGTCAATGTGGACGGATTAAATGTGGAAGAACCTGTTGAAAGAAAAGAGAAAGTGTGTTGTTAGCGATATGAGCACAGCATGCCTTTCCTCTCACATGCCTTACTGTATGTATGATGGTATGGATGTATGACTCTTGTAGCTCAGTTTTGAATAGTTAAAATTTGGTAGGGCCGTAAGACATACGAGATGCTAGAAACCATGGGAAGAATAAATTTCACTGCCAATGAGATTGGTCATAGTTTAGTTGGTGGCACAGTATAAGCTAAGATTCTTGGGTTCCAGATTCGAATCCGGTCCGGGTGGGAGCACAGACCTCTTAACCAGCAATATGTGTGTGATTACTATCTCTGAATGTTTAACAACAGATCAGTATTGTCATGTTTCGCAGTAATCATTGCTGGATTTATCATCCAGAGCCGAATTTTGAACAGCATTAAGCTATATTTGGATTGCGAAGTAATAGTTGAAGTGAACTGACAATTGGATAATTACTTATTAGCTCTCCATAGATGATCCGTTACATGTGAGAAGTAGATGACAGATAATTCTAGCATCTTTCATTTTTTTTCTTTCTTTAATAAATATGAGTTCCGTTACCTAACAAAATATGAAGTCAAGCGATAAAAATCTTTGATCACTGCGCTATAGTGCTGTTGCACTTGGTATGGTTAAAGTTTCAGTTTTATTACTCTACGCGTTTGCTCCCATTGCTACATATTGTGGTGATGGCGAATGCGGCAACCAAATATACACAATCATTGCGTAATAGTAGGTCGTTCGTATTATTTCTTAATAATTTTTATATTAGGTTATTAGGAATTAATATCCATTTCAGATATGGTTGGTCATTGATTTAGCCACATATTGTAATGTTATATCTGTTTGTTTATGAATATGAAGTACTTATATACATTCGCATCATTTATAGGTAATAAAAATAGTAATTTTGGGGCCGCAGGACATCATCAATATCTCAGCAGTATACATGGCGTACGAGGTAATGTTCCGCAGGGTAATGGAAATAATCAGCAGCGAAGTATTCAGCAGAATCAGAAAACTCGTAAACCCTTTTTTATGCCTTACATGAGCTTAGATGCGGTGAATCGTGGACTAGCCAATGGAGATCTCATCAAGGTATGCTTCTTTTTTTATATTAATGTCTTTCCTATTACTACTGATTTCCCATCCTCGTATTCTTAATTACTGATTACTGATTTCCCTGCTTTCTATTATGTTGACTCATTTAAGGGTGTTTTGCGTGTTAATCAACGTAACTATGAAGAATCATTTGTGGACAATCCTATGGGTGACGAACAACAGGATATTTTGATTCTTGGTGTCCATGACCGTAATCGCGCACTTCATAGTGATGTTGTCGTTGTTCGCATTAAGGACAGGAACTGTTGGGTTGTAAGCTATACACTGATATTTAATTTGATATTTGTATCTTTTTGTTTTATAGTGTTTTTCGATGATTCGTTAAGGTTCGTGATGCACTGTATGAAGCATGGCGTGGTGGAAATCTAAAAGCTCGTGTCGATGACAATGGCCAGCCATTGACTATTCCACCGATCAAGCGCAGCGATTACGAAATAGAACTGTCACCAGCTGAACTTCTTGATGTAAATTATTTTCTTTTTGTAAAAACTGCAAATCGTTAGAAGTTTATTGCCATTCGACTTACTTCCAGTTCAAAATTTTTACATAACAATTTTTCGTCTTTTAGTTGCCCACATGCGTTGATAAATGTATTTCGAGTGAAAAGTTGAAAGAAGATGTGCCCGTTACAAGGAATCGACGATACAGCCGCGAACAAATGCTGTGTATTGCTGCGAAGGTTATCTTCAAAGTTACAATCTTGAATGCTTTTATATTATCAACAAGACTCTTAGCATTTATATTGAAGGTAGTGAATTTCGTTTCATTCTAGCTTGAATTGGAACGTCGTAAACGAGTTGTAGATGACGATGGTGGTATTGACCCGGCTATTCTGAACACTATATCCAGGCTCGCCATTATAAAACGAACTGATTCACCAATGTATGTTGAAGATTTTTCATTTAGTTGTTGCTTTACCAGCATCAAAAAGATAACTGTCGGAATACATTTTAAGAGGTTTTTCGCAGTCTGGAACATCGGCATGTGGTACTTCCGCCTCAAGTTTGGGAGCAGGTACAATAACGACACGACGTAATGGAACTGGTACAAGTGGATCTGTACAGCGACGATCAAATTACCGAATTTTATCGGATATGCCGGATGAAGACTGGGGGATTCCTGACATGTGCCTTCAAAAAACCGCCGAGGTTGATCCAAACTTCACTAAAGCCATTCATAATTAATTCCTGTTCTTTGCCAGTTGATATCGATAGTACGACATATTTCACTAATTTAAATTACGAATATTAGGCAGAGATTTCGGACCTATGAAATGGGGAATTTCAGGTGGTTTACATCAGTGAGCAGAAAAATTGTCGAGCCGCAGTAGGCATGTTAAAAATGATGGCTGATGGGAATCGTAATTGGGCACTTTTCTCGCCGGGTGATTCACGGATGCCACGGATGATGATACCAGCGGAGCAAACGCCCGCTACTTTTTTTGACCGTCCACAAGATTTCGCGAAGTTTATTTATGTGGCACGAATGGTAGAGTGGCAAGCAACAGCGCAGTTTGCACGAGGGTGAGCAACTTTCGTTCATTGCAGATAGTGTTTTTGAGAAGTTATCTCCTGCCGCATAAATCAGTGATATGTTCAGGAAATTATACAAGAGCCTCGGTATGGCGGGCGACGTAGAAGCAGAAACAGAAGGCCTATTGCTAGCGAATGATGTTGATACCCGAGAGTTTTCACAAGCTGCGCTTTCGTCACTTCCAATTACCGAAGCAGTGGAATGGAAAATTGATGAAGTTCGTTTTTGTTGAAATAGATGAAGTTGATTTGATAAACTTAATTCGATCATGAGAATTGACTTTATTAATTTTATTTCTATTTGATACGTATCTGTCATACAACTACGGAACTAAATGTCATGTTTGCAGAAAGAGTTCAAGTATCGAAAGGATTTCCGAGATGAAACTGTGTTCACAATTGATCCAAGTGCGGCGCGAGATTTGGACGATGCTCTTCACATAAAGCCGATTTCAAACTGTGATGGAGCTGGTAATCCTGGGTGGGAGGTAAGTTGCAACAATTTCCGCAAATTTCCATGTTATTTCGTGGAAAAAGTATTGTAAGAATTCCAGATTGGTGTTCACATAGCTGATGTCTCACATTTCGTGCAATTCGGCACCGAACTTGATCATTGGGCTTTTAGCCGTGGCACATCGGTTTATCTTGTTCATAAAGTTAGTCCATTTAATTCCACTCGCTTGCTTTCATTGTCTTTGAACTTAGATGCTTATCTGAGATTTCTAGGTAATTCCAATGCTGCCACAAATACTTTGTGAAGAATTATGCTCCTTAAATCCCGGTGTTGATCGGCTGACGTTTTCGGTGGTCTGGAAGATCAATGATCAAGGAAAAATATTTGATGAATGGTTTGGGCGTACAATTATTCGGTCTTGTTGCAAATTGTCGTATGAATATGTGCAGGTGAGCAGATTTTTTTCGCTTTCCAACTTTTCTTCATTGTGCTAATGTAGTTTACTTTTTTTAGGATTTCATCATTCATCCAAAAAAAGATTTCGTTCCATCCGAGTTGCCAAATATTTTCAATGGCAAAAAGTCGGATGAAGTGAAAGAAGCAGTACTTCGCTTGCATAAGGTTCCCTGTTTTAGATACTTTTTGGTTATGATTTGAATAGTATTATCTCTAAGTCTTATTTTAGCGATAAGAAGTAAAAAAGGAAAAAGCGTATTATAAGATTTAGACTTCATGGAAGTAGCATGTCTCACACTGCGATTTTATTCCCAACAAATTGATATCTCGGGCCCCTGCTTAAGTGACCTCAGAATCAAAATAATACCTGTATTATTATCAAGTTTTGCAGATTGCACTTATCCTAAGAAAAAAACGATTTGAAAATGGATCTCTTTACCTTGATATGCCCAAACTGAGATTCGCACTTGATGAAACCTCGGGAATGCCAAATGGTCTTTGTCTTGACGAAGTAAGTTTCTTGGCGGTTTTTTGGTGGTTTTTATCAGGTTTTGTGCAAATTTAGATCGTCTGAATTTTACTTGATATCGAGATTATTTCATTATAGCGAAAGGAAGCCAATTTTCTTGTGGAAGAATTCATGCTATTGGCAAATATAGCTGTAGCTCGGAAAATTGAGTCAGCATTTCCGAAGACTGCACTTTTACGACGACATCCACCTCCAAAAATTAAAGTATAATTTTTCCTTATGTTTTGTTAAAAGTTATAAAAATAGAGCTTGCTAGACTTTACTTCTAAGTCAATATTGACGTTCCCAAATTCCGTCGAGAATTTATTCTTCCTAAATCTTATCTCAGATGTTATTCTTTAGATGCTACGGGATATTTTGGAGAAGTGTGAAAAGGTCGGCTTTGTAATAAATGGTTCCTCAAGTGCGACCATTTCTTCGAGCTTGCAGAAGTATGAGAGAGACAGTGAATTGAAAGGGACCGCCGTTCAGGTGATGTGAACAGTAGTATGAAAATAAGAATTAAGAAAAATAACTATCCTTTTTTGCATTTTTTTTACCGTAGTTAAACTTTATCGGAAGACTTGATAAAACTACAAGTGTTAAATATCGCTTTCGTTTTAGATGCTGACCCATTTACTGATGAAATCAATGCAATTGGCATTATATTTTTGCGTTGGTTCTTTGAAAAACCGAGCTGATTATGCACATTACGCTCTCTCAGTGCCATTTTATACTCATTTCACCTCACCGATACGTCGATATCCTGATATTATGGTTCGCCCGTTGATTGTAATAAATATAGGATATGGCTTATCAGTTAAATTATGTAAAATCAAATTTCTGCGATTTAAACAAGTTGTTTCGGTATACTTACATTGTTTTTATAGTACTTACTAATTTTTGAGATATAGTGATCACCAATTTTTGAGATTAGAACATCTAGGAAATCTGAAAATCATAGAAAATTTAAATATATTTATCAAATATTCCAAGCATTTGTTAAGTTTTTGTTTTCTTTGGATGGGAAATGATTTTTTAGGTGCATCGTTTTTTGTCAGCAGCACTCGGTTACTCTCCAGCTCCAGGCTTGACTGTGAAAGAGATCGAAACTATAGCAAGTCATTGCAATGACAGAAAACTAACTGCAAAAACAGTCTCGGAAGCAAGTGATGATATGTTCTTTGGTGTTTTCATTAAGGTTCGTTTGGTTTTTGTTTCATTTCTTTTTATCAATCATTTGAAAATGAATGATGTAGCAGAGGTGTTTAGTCGTTCTGTTCATTTATTACTGAACATCGGTTTTAGGAATGTGGGCCACTAACGGAACGTGCTGTAGTAATGCAAGTACTCGATGCTTCTTTCGATGTTCTAGTCGTAAAGTACGGTGTTGTAAAGCGCGTTTATACAAGTGTATGTTTTTTTTCTTTTCCTGCAAAATAAATTATGAAAAAGGATACAGCTATAATGATGCTTATATTATATCTAGTTCAAATGGTTATTGTAGAGTGATTTTAGAGGTGCGTAAATTCCAAATGTCTTAATTACTTTATTGAGGAAAAATAAACAAAAGAGGCAAAAAATTAGTATTATTATTAAAAGCATACAGTATTATTATTGTTACTTTCCTTGTCTAATGCTGATAGAAAGGGATATGGCATTATATGAAAGGGTTGTTAATATAATCCAAAATAATGGACTAGGTCTCAGTGTTGCTTACATATTTTCTTAATTATTCAATATTATAGCGTCTACGATTGGCACGAGAGCCACGCTTCATTGAAGGTCCCTGTCCATCGCTTCTTCTTTACTGGGATTCCACCAGTGATGGTTCAAATGCTGCGATCGAGCAAGTTATTTCGATGTGTACTGTTGTCGAGGTAGTCCTTTCCGCACTTCCAGAACCAACGAAATATCAGGTAATTATTTTAAGACTGTTTTTTATATCGGACGATTAATTAATATATAACCATTGTTGCAGTATTTCTTGTTAGGAAAAGAAGTACTCTAATTTCAGACTATTGCTGTAATACTCAATTTTCTGAGATAATGTGCGAAATACTTCTCATTTTGATTTATATTACTGTAAATGCAAGATCTTGGATTTGTTATATCATCTGTTTTTAGGCAGTGCTAAAGCAGCCAATTAATAGTGAAATGTTGCCCTTGGCGGAACCTGTCGCTTTGTTAAGCTAAAAGTGATACAACAGAAGCTACTACCGTTTGTGGTAATGATTAATATCCAGGAGAAATTTGGAGGTGGTAGCAGTGAGAATGAATTGGAAGTAAGGCAAAGCATCTGTTTTCTTATTCGCTTCATATTTCATCTTTTCATTGCTTTGTTAATTTTGTCTCTTTTTCATCAGGAAAAAAGGAAAAATTCATTTTGTTACGTGTTTACAGATATAAATATTAGCATTGCCTGAACAACATGAGTCTTTGAATTATTGCGTCGAATCTCACGTGTCATCTCGGGTTTTCTTATGTTAAGAAAATAATTGTAATTCTATGAATAGTATATATTGTACATTAATTGATAATGATGCTGATCGAGGTAAAAATAGATTGTGATTCTATAGGTCTCGATCTTTCTCTGTTCCCTGTATTTTATAATATTGCTGTAAGATGTGCAGTGATATACTTATGCACATATTCTGAAATATCAATCTTCCTTCTTTTTTGTAGTTCTGAATGACTGTTGTCTAATAGTATATTTTTATTTTTTCTTATCTTTTCTTTTTTCCCTATATAGTAAATTAGCATGGCGTTGTTTTTGCTTGTGTTTGGGTATTTATTTTCGAGTTGTTTTGTGTAACATTAAATATTTGAACTACTCATTAATTCTGCTTTTGTCTTTGATAAGGGTTGTTGTGCATGCAGTAATTTGCTTTGCGATCAGATATGATCATGAGTCATATCCCTGATGTTTATGAAGCGGAAATAATTACCAGTACTGCCACTCGCAAAGTTTGTGTTTTACATCATTCCGTTGTTTCGTTCAAATTCGCATTAAATTATTAAAAGTTTCATGATCGGTCGAAGTGATTGACATCCTTTAGTTATTTGAAGAAGTGTGTGATATTCCTTGGATATTGCCTGAAATATTTATCTCTCGCAATCGTTCTGACTATGTCTACACAAGTGGTAGAAGGAAGGGAGAATTTTAGCAGCAAGTGACTTGTGTTGCAAAATAATAAGGTGACGAGCATACTTATACAATAATATTGGCAAATAGTTCAGGAGATTAGGCCATAATTTTAAATGTTCGGTGTATGGGGGTTTTTCGTCATGGATATCTCTATTGTGTACAGGTGTACAAGCAGTGGTAGGTGCGATTTAGACCGGATTAGTTTGGTTAAGATGTACGTAAAGCTTGTTTAGCATGAAGAAGCGGTTTTCAACTTTGGATGTATTCGCGGCGGTTCACGACTTGAAGGAGCTGACTGGTCAACGTGTTGCCAATGTGTATGATGTGGATTCTAAAACATATCTTATACGGATTCAAAAGTACGGTTTCCAAGCAGTTAATTATCTTTTCTGCAATGTGGTAGTAGAGATTGGGAAATAAAGAGAGATAGAATTTATATATGTAATCTTGCAGACCAGGTGAAAAGTGTTTCATCATGTTGGAATCCGGATGCAGAATTCATAAAACCACATTTGATTGGTCCAAAGCGCAGTTTCCTTCATCTTTTACTATGAAACTTCGAAAGCACATCAGGCATAAACGATTGGAATGCGTTACACAGCTTGGTGTTGATCGAATTATCGATATGCAGTTCGGCTCCGATGAACATGCATGCCATGTGGTATATTATCAATTTAGAGATTGCTTCTGATGACTCAATTACGGGATATAGGAATTACAGAAAATTATGATTTCATAGCTGCTTCAAGGAATATCTGATTTCTCCATCCATCATAGAAAATGAAGTGGAGCTTAACAACTTGAAAAGAATTGTTGCGTCACGGTTAAAAGGTTAACGTACTTTTTAACCTGAACATGTAGTGACTTCTGTTAATCAAAAAAAACCCTAATGCTGATGCTAGTTATTGCGAGTTATATTTTTTCTGATTATATTTTTTGTACTTAATGAAACCTGTTGTGACAGATTGCTGAGTTGTATGACAGAGGCAACGTGTTGTTAACGGACTACAATTATACTATACTTAACGTGTTGCGGCCGAGAACTGATAAGGAAACAGACACACGTTTTTCTGTTCAAGAACGGTTGCTGTTTCACTTTTTCCTCTCAGATGTTGCCAGTTCATTCCTCTCTAATTTTTTTCAGTTTTCCCTTTTTGATGTTATCACTTTGTAAATTTGGATTGAAAAAAAGTTCCTTCAGATATCCACTTGAAGCCGTACGACAAGATATTAGTTGCCCAACCAAAGATGAATTGATGGAAAGAATCAAAAAAGCCAAAAAGGGTGATTCAGTAAAACGGTTTCTTGCTCCCCTTACTCAGTATGGTCCTACTTTAATTGAACATTCGTTAAGAATCGCTGGTGTTGCTCAAAATGCTCAGGTTTAGCCTTTTTTGGTATTGTAAGGGGATATGTTTTGGACAGTTTGTCATTTTTCAAAATTCTAATTTGTAAAATATCTCATTTGAATAATTCAGTAAGTAATAGAGGCGATGTTTTCTAATTTGATGACTGGGATTTTAGAACCGATCATTTTTTTTTGTGAGGTCTTGATTAGATTGACATTCTTCACTGTGTATAAGTCCAATGTCTTCAGAGTTGGAAGGGAAACTGTTGTCCTTTTTTCCTACGATTAAGGGATTTAAACTTGAAAGCTTGATTTTTATTTCAGCTACTTTTTATACTGCAATGTTTATCAGTTCAATTACATTCTTTGTAAGTAAAATATTTCTAGCAAAGTGTTGAAATTTAAGATTGGTGTAAACATCGACATGGAGGAAAGTGGTGCTGCAAAACTACTCGAATCCCTTCAGTTAGCTGATCAGATTTTCAATTCAGTTAGGTGTAATGCAGCTCAAGGATTTTTGATATATAAAGAGGATTTGAGGACGGATGGCGTTATTGTCGAAACATATCAGGTTTGTTTGATTTATATTATTGATTTGTAATCATTTAATTCTTGTATTTAAAGTAATTATAAAATGTATTTTTTCCAGGAATTCCATCCATTCATGTTTTCACAGTTTAGCGAAATGCGAACGAAGCATTTTGATTCATTCTCAGAGTGCGTCGATGAATTCTTCTCCAAGCTGGAGTTGCAAAAAGCTGATGTGAAAGCGCTAAATGCAGAAAGGGAAGCAATGAAGAAACTAAACAATGTCATAAAGGACCAGCAGGTGTAATTTGTATTCTTTTCAATTATCGAAACTAATCTATTTATGAAAGGAATATGTGTGTTGGATAAGTTTTATTGTTAATACAGGATAGAATAGCAGCTTTAAAAGTGGCGCAAGTGGAAAGGGAAGAAATGGCTGAATTGATTGAACTAAACAGTGATTTGGTGGATAAAGCTCTGCTAGTTATTCGATCAGCTATCGCCAACCAAGTAAAATTATCTTGTTATCGAAAGAATCATTCCAAACTTTCATTTTAAAAGTCCTCAAGAACCTATCAATGTTTTGATTTTAGCTTAGTTGGAAAGCCATTGATGAAATGCGGGTAAGTGCCTGTGAAGCTGGCAATCCAATCGCTGCTTCTATCGTTGGATTAAATTTAAATTCAAATGAAATGACACTGCTGCTCAGGGATCCATATCGTCCAGAAATTGATGCTAAAAAGGTAATTGTAGTATAGGCACTGCAGTGAAAATTTTAAACTAACTCATTTCTGGTCTTTTGACAGTACCGGAAAAATTCTGCAGTCTGTATAGCTTGAAAGCGCTTAGAACAAGTGGAAGGAAAGGCAAACATGCAGCATATATTCCTTATTTCAGGTGACTATTGATATTGCTTTATCATCCTATCAGAACGCTAGGAAACTCCACGCGGAAAAAAAAGCTGCAGAACAAAAACAACAGAAAACAATTTCTGCTTCATCGAAGGCGTTGAAATCAGCAAAAATAAAAACAAAGGAAACGCTGAAAGTGGTAGTGTTTGTATTTTTGCGGTTAATTTAAACCAAAAAGGAAATTAAGATTATTGAATGGCTTAAGAAGTTTGGTTCAATGTAAAGTTCAATTCGTTAAATTTTTTCCATCCTACTGTTCTGTCCTTTTTTAATTTCCTCAGTTTTAAGGTTCATATAAAAGCTGAAGTTATGAAAAGGCGGCGCGTAATGTGGTTTGAGAAATTTCTCTGGTTTGTGAGCTCCGAAAATTATTTGGTAATTGGTGGTCGCGATGCACAACAGAATGAGCTGCTCGTGAAGAGGTGAATTTAGAATTTAGAATTTCGAGGTTATTTTATCAATTTCTCTGAGTAAACATTTGTGAAGCAAAGTCAATTTTCAAAGATTATAGGTATCTTCGACCAGGTGATATTTATATGCATGCAGATACGCGGGGTGCATCATCCATTATCATACGCAATAAATTGAGTGGTGGTGATATACCACCCCGAACTTTAAATGAAGCTGCTGTTATGGCCGTTTGTTATTCTTCCGCCTGGGAAGCGAAAGTAACGACCTCAGCGTGGTGGGTTCATCAGCATCAGGTTATATATTTGAGATTATTATTTAAATTGAAGTTCAAAGTAAGGGAGCTCGTTTATTAGAGGATTGAATTAGAAAGAGATGAGAATATATCGCATTACGATTCTGTTATTTAAGTTCAATATTGTGCGATAAAATGATCATATACATAACTGTCAAGTCATTCATCGCTTACTTTTTATTATTTATTATCAAATAATTTATTTTACAACTTTCAGCATGAAAGTATATATCATTGTCGGAAAAGCTAAGTGAATGCGCTTTTGGGTGTTGTTTAGGAAATGACTATAGTCAAAATTAAGAGATTTTAGCTATAGTCACACTGTATTTCAGGTTTCAAGGACAGCTCCAACAGGTGAATATTTAACACCGGGTAGCTTTATGATACGTGGTAAGAAGAATTATCTGCCAACATGTCAATTGCAAATGGGATTTGGTGTAATGTTTCAATTGGATGAGGAATCAGTGGAAAGGCATGCAGAAGAAAGAAAAATTGCTCTTGCGGTGACAGCAGAGGGCAGTATTGTGAACCAAGATGATAATAAAGATGGCGAGATTTCCTTAAGTAAAAGTGAAAAAGAAAAGAATTCTGATACGCAAACTGACGATTTTCCTGATGTTCAGGTGAAAATTTTTAGCATTCAAGTTTTGGATCTAAAACGACCAATGAAATGTTGCTCTTCATTTTCAACATTTCTTTCTGATTTTAGAATCAAATAATGCAGTAAAAAAAACAAGAGTAGAGTCTTTATTGTTCCTATAAGCTTTAGTATTTCTAAAAGCTTTGAAAATTAAGCATAAAGTTGAGCTGTAAGAGAATTTCTCTTTCAAATGCAGATTTTCAAAATCTGTTTAACCCAAGCATCATTTGAATTTCGTACAATGGTTCCATTATGCTCATTAAATAAATATTATCTTATCCATTAAATGATTATTTTAAGACTGTCATTATTAAAATTATGATGTAGTTTTGTTTTCACAGATTTTTAATGAGGCTAAGTACTGTGTATTAATCAAGCGATATTTTTGCTTCTTGAGAAATCTTAATCGGATAGAACATGTTGATTGATAAAAATCATGGTTACTATCATTAGAACCAGCTTGCTGGTGTAGGATAAATGGCTCTTAATAACATGTTTAGGATGATTAGCAACAACATATTTAGGTTAACCTGCAAGGTATCATTGGTAAGGGAAATAATGCAGGTGAGGATGACAGTTGCACCATCATTCAAATTGGTCCGCCAGTACAAAGAAAATCTGCTATCAGAACGGTTAATGATATGCGAGACAGTGACAAAGCGCAGAAGATAAATGAAATGAAAGAAAATGACAAGATACGTCCTATGACTCATCGGCAGAAACATAAAGCGGAGAAAATCAAGAAAAAATATGGGAATCAAGATGAGGAAGAGCGCCAGTTGAGGTTAATGTTGCTGGCATCAAAGCCGAAGGATGCGGAAAATTTTGAAAGTTTGTTTGTCACATTTGTAACACCAGTGGAATTCTGTTCTCTATAATCCTCAAAACCATATTTTGATAGACATTAGCTTTGTTTATCCCAGACACGTGGGTTTAAATTCATTTTTGGGTTGGAAGTAACGTTAACAGACGTTTTACCGAAGTACAAGCGTTGTTTCTTTTTTTCTGATATTTACTAGTGTGAGGTGTAATGATTTCGATGTTCCCGAGATATATGTGTTATATGCTATTATGCAGATTAATGTGAGATTTGTTATCGTATGATTGACAGATTTTTTGCAGGAAAAAAAATAAATGAAAAGCTTTTGGAGAAAATGAAAAAGAATGTCCAAGAGAACAGAAGGCCAAGTCAGTTTGAACACGAGAGGGATAAATTGGCGGTTGAGGAGAAAACTGAATCTTCAACAAGACTTGACGAAGTAAAACATTTTCTCAAATCCATTTGAGGTCTCTTCTTACAGGTTGACAATATCATCTGTTCACTGCCAAACCATTATTGAAATAAATGGAATGAAACTGTGTATGTGGAGAACCAGATTGTCCAGTTTAAACTGATAGAGTAGTAAAATAAACTTGCAATTCCGAATTCCGTTAGTTGTAAAAGAATGTAAGGCCGAAGTTAATTGAGTTGTAAAATTTACGCTTCAAAGCAGCGAAGGTTTTCTCATTTTGACCTTTATGAACTTGTAGTGGCCGTTTTATCTTCAGGAGGAAGATGATGAATTGCTGAAAGCAGACGTGGCAGTGATGGATGCCGAAGAAACGAAAATGTTAAATTCGTTGACATGGCGGCCGCTGGATGGGGATATTTTTCAATTTGCTTTGGTGGTTGTGGCACCATACCAAACAATGCACAATTTCAAATATAAAGTGAAATTGACTCCAGGAACCGGAAAACGTGGAAAAGCGGCTAAAAGTGCAATAGCGTTGTTCCAGGTATCATTAGGATTACTTCTCTTTATAGCATGCGAAAAAATCTACAAATTTCGAGGAACACGCCTGAGAAAGTTAAAACTTTCTATGACTGCACCAAAAATGAAATACGATGGGGCATAAAATAAAAAATAAATTATAAAATGGGATATAAAATGAACTTAACCGAAGTATGGAAATGATAGTGGTTAAAGTTTCATAATACCGGTGAAAATATACAATCATGATAGTAATTCGGATATAGATTTTTTTTCCTTCAGATGGTGGTAGGAGGTTATATTGCTTTGCTTCCAGCTTGTTAAAGATTCATTGTTTATTTTTGATTTTCAGCGTGATAAATCGGCGAATGCACAAGAACTAAATCTGCTGAAAGTGCTGGCAACAGATGACCAAATTTCACGAAATATTCCCGGGAAAGTTAGAGTTTGGGCACCACAACTGAACAGAAATTAGGATATATATATGATGGGATGTACATATAAACTCGTATTCTGATATAGGAGGAATTGTAAATTAGTATTACTAGCAATATTGTCATCGTCTAATCGTCCATGTTATTATTCTATGAATTCTTTTTGTGCACACGATAAATTTACCATTGTTCATTTACATTATTACAAAGTTGATACAGTTAATTACATTTTATAATACCTTCCAAGGGTCTTCGCACGTGTCACTCGTAAACTCGCAAAACAAAAGATTTGAATAGACCGGGAATTAAACTTATGATAATATGTGGTTGGACGGTGTTTGTAGTTCGAGATCTCTGAGTTGATGGGTGGGTCATTTATGCTATCTTTACTTTGAATGTTTGTGTGGGACTGTCATCGTAGGAGGTGAGAGAATCTTTTACATTGACTAAAAGATGCAGTTGTCGTACATTTCTAGAAGTGAGGCGATAGATTTGTATGACTTCGTATGTGATCTGCAGATGGATACAGAGGTGAAAGAAGAGGAAAGTGGATCACAAGTGCCACCATCAAAGCGTTTCAGACGCGACGATAATGTTGATCCTACTAATCCGGATCCGTCAATTGTTGTTCATGTCCGAAATTTGAGTCCGAAAGCCACTGAAGCTGATTTATTGGAAGCACTGTCCCATTTTGGTCCGATATCGTACGCTACTTGTATGCCTGGAAAACGAATGGCACTGGTGGAATTTGAGGTTGTTGTTCCATCTTCAATTTTGAGGAGTGGTATTAATGCAATGGTTTTTTTAGGAATAAAAATGAACCTCAAACATTTAGTGATTATATCGTAGCCACAATTATTACCATGAGATGATAATATTTTGAGGAAGTGGAAGGTGCACGTTCATGTGTCGTATATGCTCAAACGAATCAAATTTATGTTGCTGGACAAGCGGCTCTATTCAATTATTCTACATCTAAAATGATCCAACGATTGGGACTTGAGTCGGAGACGCCAAATCATGTGCTTATATTGACCATCTACAATGCTCAGTATCCTGTTAATGTTGATGTCATCCACCAGGTTTATGTTCCTTTGCTGTTTAATGTATTTCGGACTTCTGTCCATTTTGCTTATCAACATCATTCCGAATTATTGCACATGTTGTGGCAAAAATGACTCATTTTTATCACTGGTGAATCAGGATTGGATGATAGCTTTAATTATTTCTATATAAATAAGAATGAGCTGTGTTTTACGTACTATCCCGGTAAGAACAGGGAAAGCAGACGGAAAAAACGTTTTGCTAGCTGAATGTTACAGATATGCGAACCACACGGTTTTGTGAAGCGTATTGCTATGATACGCCGTACGATGTTGCAAGCGTTAGTTGAATTCGAAAGTGCCGAAATCGCGAAGAAGGCAAAACACGCAATGAATGGGGCTGATATATATTCTGGATGTTGTACACTCAAAGTCGAATTTGCTAAGGTTATTAATATAATTTATCTAATGCTAAAGTTACTCTTTTTAAAAATTGTAATCTTTCATGATATGTTTCTAAATCTGAGCTTTCTAAAAAAAACAATAGCGTCTTTATTGTTGTTTTGAAAGCTTCCTGGTGGTCTATAGTAATTATTGTCTAATTACCAATCAAGAAGAGCATGAAAACGTTAATAGCTTTATATATAAATAAACATTATAAACGTAATGTAATTTATGTCATTGTTGATGAATCATTTCCAGCCAGAACACGTGAAAGTGACTCGAAATGACATGGATCAGTGGGATTACACAAAAGCGCCGCAGTCAGGTTGTTTGTTAAGAATGTTACTGGTTGTGGGATTGACGTAGAATTTGTTGCAGGTGATTGCAAAGTTACAGGGCATAGTATGAAAGTTAAATCCATACAAACTACACTGACGGTCACTATGAGTGGATCGAAGGTCGGGAAAGCAGCAACAGATTTTACCTACCATCAACACATATAACAGTACCAACATGAAAAGATCGCAGATAATCTGGTGATGTGTTGCATTCCTCATCCGTCATCAGCACCATCACCATCATCATCATCATTATTATCAGCACCATCATCATCACCATCCATCACCATTATTATCATCAGCAGCATCAATATCCTCAGCATCAGCAGCAACATAAGAGGTTCATCGTAGAAGGCATATTTTCTGAGTTGGTGCAGAAAACAGTCAAAACAACAGGTAAAAACAACGATTGCCAACTTAAGTGCAGCTGATCCAGCATCACAAATATGAAAAAATGTGGCATCATACTGGGAAATTGAGAAAAACAAATATTTCTCCATATTACCATTACTACAGTACAGCAATCATTCGCAACTATCATTGATCGTGGTAAACCGCATAAATGATAATAAAGGGGAAGAGAGTAAGCGAAGAGGTAAAACAGGTTAATAGGATTGATGGCATGCAATTGGATACTTAATGGCGTACACAATTGGAATGCATTGCATACAAAGCATACATGTACAGAAAGGAAGGGATAGAAGGACGAAGAAACGAGAACTATTGTGAGGGCTTATCACCGAGCTTCTTAATTATTGGCCTTAAACGTGAACGCATCCCTTTTCTGCAGGTTTCTACCGCAAAAGAGCTTGCGGTGTGGAAGAAATTATGTAGCGGTGGTGCTGGCCTACAGGCTTAAGTTTATGTATTACCTGGAAAAGGTTCGTTGACACTATTATGTTGCATTGTTCGAGTGTTACTCGGGCCTGGTTGATGGATGAGTCGCCGAAGTCTTCTGCATCTTTCTTTACATTTCATACAAGGCTGTAAAGGTCGGCGTTGTATTACTGCATGAATTTTTTTTGGTTTTGTTTGCAGGCTGCGCATGATATGATATAAAAAGGTATGTTCTATATGTTATGACTCATTTCGGGATATTTCAGAATACACGGAGGAACCGCGGAAGACGTTGCTGAATGATGCGGGACCACGAGGAGGACGTAACTTTTTCTATTATTTATTAAATTCTTCCATTCCATCTAAAACATTGCCATTTGATATAGTTTTAATGGTTCGCTTAATACTACAATGTTTTTCTTTCCATCTTTTCAGCGCCTGGACCACGTGGACCTCCGAGCTACGGTATGCTATGGTATTTGTGGCATGACGAGCAGTTCAAGTACTGAAGATGCAGATTTTTTTATACGGGGAATATAATTCAGTTAGGCATTAATTCCCCATTTAGATACTTTTGAAATCTTTACTTGTAGGAGGATATGGTGGACGAGGTCGTGGCGGTCCACCTGGAGATTATGGTTATCATGATGAGCGCTATGGTGGCAGTTATGGTAGAGGTCGTGGCAACTATGATGAATATGATGGAGGATATGGAAGAACTGAAGGATATGGAAGGGGAGATGGTTACTCTCGTGGTGATGGATATTACAGTAGAGGAGGCGGACGAGGTGGATTTGGTCGCGGTGATAGTGGCTATGGTCGAGGAGGGTATGCACGTGGAAGAGGTTATATTCACTTTTCTGTTAGTAATTCACGTTGTAATTTGGAAAAATTATGAATTAGTGGCAGAATGATTTTGGAAAATTATGAGAACCATTTGGACCCTTAAATTCGAAATTTTGAAGTAATTCGCTGTCAAGGATGAGTAGTTATTGGAATGGTCCTAGAAGTAAGAGTCTTGTTCCAAATGGCTCGCAAAATTATGCAAATTACATCGGATGAATTGTTGTGGATTCAGCATTTATTTCTCTATGATTAGAATACTGCCAATACTGTGATAAAATAGGAGCCATTGTGTTGGCAATGCTTCAATTTATCATTAGTCAATTCATTGCTTCTCCATCAGTAGGTTATTCACATTTCTAAAAAAGCTAGTGGCTTTCATTATTCCAATTATTTTAACCTCTGTATGGAAGGTGTGATCTTTTCTGGATTTTGATTCTCAAGAATTTTCGAATGCTTTGATATGTGGATTTGAAAAATTCATTGTATTATGTAAGAACTTTATCTTGCAGGAAGTGGAACTGGTCTCTACGAAGATGAACGTGATTATTACAATGGTGATGGTCCTGTAATGATGATTTATGGTATTGATCAGGATAATTTCAACTGCGATAAATTATTTAATCTCTTATGTCTGTATGGTAACTGCAATAAGGTAACTCTTACGTTATATGATAACTCGTGGCGTTTTCTGATTTCATTGTATTTGAAAAAGAATGATTGCAGATTGTCTTTGTCCTTTTCATTTGTTTTTTTTTTTAAAATCGTTTTCAATTCAGTGGAAACGGCAGAAAATGATCCTTGTTTCACTCTGCCTGAGAAACTTCTAATTTCTTATTTTTTCAGATTAAATTTATGAAGTCGAAGACAGATACGGCAATGGCCCAAATGGGTAGTGTGCGCCAAGTCTACACAACAATCGACAACTTGCATGGTACCATGATTTTCGGCAACAAACTTGCCCTCAGACCATCAAAGCAACAAATTTTGCACGAAATACGCGATCCATTCATATTGCCGGATGGAACACCTTCATACAGGTAAAGCAAGATGATCACATTTTTATGTAAGGAAGGGAGAAATTTTCACGTCTTTAGTTGATTGAGATAAAGTAGAATTAAGCAATAGTGCAATAAATTTGTCTACTGTTGCGTGGATGAGACAAACCTAACATAATGGCCAAAACTAGCAGTTATCAAAATTAGTCAGAAATTGATGTTAACAATTTACAGAGATTATACCAATAGCCGCAACCAGCGTTATACGACGCCCGAATTGGCGGCACGAAATCGGATTGTGAAACCAACGCACGTATTGCACTGGTACAATGCTCCTGTGACGATGACAGAAGAGAAGCTCAAAGACGTACATTTTTGAATCTAAATATAGCACCGTGACCAAATACTTGCTTCTCTTTACTTAAATATATTGAAGAAGAAGAAGTTGATACATGAGTCGGAAGTTGTGATATAGATACAGCTGGACTGCAAAAAAATATTTCTTGGGTATCTCAATAGTTAATGGATGCATAACATCTCAGTTTACAATAAAGCATTCCTAATTAATGTTATAGATAACACCGGTATACACATAGTATCCCATATGACAGATCTTATTTCAGCTATTTGTCGACAAGGGAGCTGTAACACCAGACAAAGTGGTCATTTTTCCGCAACGTTCGGAACGTAGTTCAGCTGGAATCTGCGAATTTTCTAGCACCGAACGCGCAACGGAAGCGCTCATGTTAGCCAACCACACGCCAGTTGAAAGCCCTGGTAAATTTTCTTTAATGTTTTCACGGCTAATATTGGTGTTGATTGGCACTGATCCCACTTTTAGTGCAAATCTCTCCACTAACATATGATTAACATGGAAACATTGAAGTTCTACATTTCATTGAAGTCTATTATATCGCATTGTCCATCAGATAGTAGACACTCTTCAACATACTAGATCGGTTACTATGGGATAGCTTCCGTATTTTTATCGAATTGCTATGAAAAATATTGCAGTTGGCAAGGCGCCATACATCGTGAAGTTGGCATTTGCTGGCGGTCGTGATGGGAAAGATTTTCGAATGTGACAGTACGCTCCCATGCTTTTCATCCCTCACATTTTCAGGCCATAGACTCGTTTTTCTTTCTTATAAGCAGAGAATTACTGGTGTTGTGTTCATATAATATGAAGGTTGCTTTTTCTGTAATTTTTTGGATATGCATTGTGGTCTCATGCCCTCGCGGCTCTCCAGTTTTATTACACTAAGAGATATTGACAAGTTTTATACGTATTGTATTCCATAGTAAACATCTCTTACTTTAAATAGAAATTATAAAAAACACTTATTATGAAACACTGGGACATAGACTAATGCTGTCGTTCAAGGGGATGATGAACATTATTGGAAGCAGTCGATTGAAAACATATTAAAGCAGTTGTTATTCCTAATGCATTCTAATTATGGATGAATTTTTTAATTTATCTTTTCTCTAATTTTCTAAAATTTCCTGTTTTTAGTGTATTGTTTTGTTATATTATGAATAGCACCAAAAATAATCGATTTGGATAAGTAGTATCATTAATAAGTGACTTAGACCTCAAACGTCAGAAATAGAGATCCTAATAAAAAAACAAAGGAATACACCACCAATTAATAATGTGCTAATGTATCCCAAATAGGGCTAGCAGTAATGTACGCCAATACATACCAATAAAAGGACTCATATGTGAGCAGGAGTAACTGGAAGTACGGAACATCCGAGAGTGCCTTTGCCAGACCACGTTCGCGGTACAAGTTCTAATCGTATCGGCCTATCGCTCCTTAGCACTGTTACTCGTATTGGCCTCTGCAATAGGAAATAAATATAACTTGTGATTAGCTTCCTACTTAATATTTCTTACTTAATTCAGTCACTCAACATGCTGAACACAATTTAATGGTTTTGTCATCGTTAAGCACACTGTCCTCGACCTACCTCAGCTGCTTTAAAATGATTCAGTCTCAAGTATATGAGTGATTCAGCAAAACAGAAGTTTTGGAAAGAAAATGGATATTCAACTTTTCTTCATGGGTAAATTAACTACGATAGTTATTCATGAGGAAATAAGTCAACGTCTGTTGGGGATTTTTGACGTTTCAGCGTTTAGCGACGACATGATAGTTAATTTGGCTAAAGAATAAAAAAAAAAATATTCGAAACGATTTCAAAAGTAGTATACACGATGAATTGATGGAAAAACAATGCTACGAGAACTGGAAAGGTGTATAAAAATTTCCTTTCCTCTTCTTTGCAAGCGAAACATATGAAGTCACTAAGATACTTGGAAATGAAGCACTTACATCTATAGAGTTTTGTACAACCACACCAAGTTCTTTTATATCGGTAAAATTGCCAGCATGTAACGAACCAAACTGTATTAGTTGATCGCCATCCTTTAAACCCTAAACGATATGAACCTTCAGTTAATAAGGCAACTTGCACCATCATTTTTGCCCTTCGTTTAAATAAAGCAGTGCAGGACCAACATATGGAAGATTTTTGAGAAAAACTTTCAGAAATATGCATCAAAATCAGAATGGTGAAGGTTTCTCGACATACAAGCTGATGCTTCCGGTGTACCATATCAACGGATCCATGTATCAAAGTAGTTTAGGAAAGATTATAGAAATAAATAACCACTTCTGAGTGTTCATATCACTGTACATAGACAACGTACTGACCGCTCGAAAAGCCGGCGAGGCATCCATTACTTTGGCTATCTTCGCAAATGGAGCGTTGCTAGTACGGTGCACTATGGGAATATCATCTGCTACTGCTTTAGGTTCACTGAAAAACTGAAGGAGTGAGTTAATTCAAGAAATGAGTAAAGAATTCATAAATTCTGCTCCGTAGTAACACAATACAATATTACCTGTATGCCGCCATGCAATCTCGTTTTTGTTGGTGTAAAGTAAGCATAGCTTTTTCGATTTCAGATGTTAATTTCTGGCGATCATTCTGTGCGCAAATAATCGCACACCTTGCTCGTCTCACTGAATATACATCGACAGATGTAATGGGAAAACCTTCTGCATCTACCAAACTTCTTTGCATGTCAATATTATTCTGCAAATTAATTAATAAATTTCGAGAATTTTATAAATTTTTCACTATTAGTCAAAGCAGCATTATATATCACTCTCGCTATAAAAATTACACGAACTGCAGTTCATCAAGCTACGGTGTTTTGAATGAAGAGCAAGAGGAAGAGATGATTATATTTGATACAGAACTGAGCAGAGACGAGAAAGGCTAATGAACCTGATAATAATTTATCCCTGGTTTTACAAAACAAATGTTATTTTAGCGTGACTGGAACAGGGAGACAAAGAGAAAAAGCTTACCATCTTAAGAACTTCTTCTTCCTTGGCGATTCGTCGATCGATTTCATCTCGTGCCGCGATGAGCCTCTTCACCGAATCTACTGTAACCTTTTCATCATTGTTCTTTCCCGATTCCATTTATGGCGTACTTGCTTTATTTCCTGGTGGAAGTGAACTCATTACATCTGTCATTTTATCTCCCGCAAATTTAACCGTTATCCTTGCCTTCCTCATCACCTCCCTCCAGGTAATTTAATCAGCACCCCTTATCCAACAAAAGACCCGACCCAACGCAATATGACAACAGTGTCATCCCACTGGTTCCGTCTCTCTCTGTTGGCTTATTGTCTGCCATATGATATCTATGTTGATCGTTGGTCAATGAAATTTTTTATTATATGTTTATCATAAATAGTTTCTTCGTCCCTCACTCACCAAATGTCGACTCAATACCTACGGATACATATATCTATTTATGCATACATCCATGCCCTCAATTTGCAAGGTGTCGTCGAACCATGCTTTTCTTCAATCACCAACGAAATATGATCCAACTCGAGAATGCTAAATAGAAAAAAGTAAGCAGTTTTTTTTCCATCGCTTTAAAACTATTTTTGTTTTATCTATGCCGCTTATTCATATTAAACGCAGTTATTCTACAACTCTAGCGCTCGTTAGATTATTTACCTGTTCCCCTAGTGATTTCCACGCTTATCTAATATCTAATCATTTATTTATTCAAATCTCTTAATGCTATAAAGTAATGCTAAAACCATTTACTTGCAAATTCGAACCACTTTTAAGGAATCTAACATTAAATTAGCAATAATTTAACCCAGCTGATTATGCTGATTTAATTAATAGGACATTCAAGCATCTAAAAATCTCAATCTTTCAGGATGAATTAAGTTAACCCTAATGTAAAGAGAGTAGTAATTATGTCTTTTCGAATTATATGAAACAATGAAGTGTTACATTTTTGAATGTAAAGAAATAAAGAATGATGAACTTTACGGGAGCTAAGTGAAATAATAAGTAAGCTGCTCCATTCATTTTGTACATTACTGACGTTCAACTGTACATTACAACAGATTTATTTTACTTTATTCAGAATGAAACGTAGAGATCCGAAAACAATTCATATGTTAATTGAATAAAAAAAAAAGAATGTTAATTAAGATGATGTCGCCACATTAGAAATTTGCATGTACTTTCCTTTTTTTTCATTTACTTTATTTACAACTATGTAAATTTTCTTTTCTTCTTTAGAATATCCTTATTTATTTTATATGTGAAATACACAAGTTTGGACTACCCTATCACTTACCAATAAGGCTAATCAGCATAACACTGTACATGCATAATTTCTTAAATATCACTTTATGAACCAACACCATAAACTACAATCAAATAATCCAATGGAAGCAAATTCCTAGGAAGATATTACTATGGAACTAGAATCCCCTTTTCTCTCCTCTTTCTCTCCCATAGTGTCTTTTCACTGTTGTAATTTCTTTTCCACAAATATTTCACCTTCAATAAAACCACCCTTCCTACAGTTACAAAAACTGATTAATATTCCCCACAATAATTATCTCATTTTTCAGAAAACTCTAATTCATCCATTTATGCCTGAACAATAACAAAATTACATTGTATTGTTTCTCCCATAAGATAAATCGAAAAATCTTTTGCGGTATGCAGGCGATATTTCCATATCCGCTTTGATGAATACGTATTGTCCAAAATATTTCAAACAAAATGTTTTTTTTTTTTTTTTTAAAAATGTCCAAAATATTTCAAACAAACAGCGTAATAAACAACTTAAACAACTTATGAGGCAGTTAATTATGTGCCACTGATTAAAACAACATTTTAAATGTACTGCTCACTCCATTCGTTTAAGCAATTATAAGCTGATAAAGCGTGATTGCTGCTGACTCCAGCTACTTCCTGCAATGAAAATGATATTTTAAACACTGCCATCGAATACCTTTACGAATCCATCGTAATAATTTGAATGCATCATAGAAAACATTAACATACTTGCCTTTAACCAATCGATGAAGAGTTCCTTTTCTTTTTTCAAAAGGAGAAATTGACCAAACAGTACATATGCCTGGAAAGGTACATTCTTTTTTAAAGCGAAAGAATTAGAGACTTAAGAAAAAAAGCATTCAATGTCGTTCATATCAAATACTATAAATAATGCTGCTATGCATTAAAAGTATATTTCATGAGACATCAAAGTACTATGCATTTTTCAAACTCCAATTTTGAAAGATGTGATAGTTCTGCACTTTATTAAACATCATTAATTTCATGTAGATATTATTGAACGATTCAGAGAACAAATTATAACTTTACCTGGTGTTATATACTTGCAATGACAAAAAGGTAAGACTAGGAAAGATCTTGTTAAATAATGAAAAGATAACAGTTGATGACATGAAATAATGATGTTATAATTAAAATGATAAATGTTGTAATTAAGTGTTAACTGAGCGTATGTAAGAAATTATATAAGAATTGAATATACAATTAAATGGAAGAATTACCTTATCAAAACCAGCCTTACTCAATTTTTCACCATAGGTAGGCCCAATACCAGCAACAGCTGTTACTTCTTTCTCCCCCATTGGTTCGGAAACGAATTCGCGATGTTTCACAGATGTACTACTCATTGTGATTACTTGGTAATTCACTCAATAAATAAATTGCCCGGAAAATATTAACTCACACTTTTCAGTTGAGAAACCAATGAAGTTTCCTGCAACTTTCTAAATGCCATGTTGGCTTAATTATGCAATGAACATATTTGTCAAGAGTAAATTCGGTACTTCATAAACAAAAGTTATCAATAATCCGTTAAACAATTTAGTACAATTGCTTTAAGCTATCCTGTACTATCTATCTATTGCCCACACAAAGAATGGATTTGGCGCTATTGGGAGCTACTGCTATAACCCGATAAATGAACCGTCTCAAGCTCGACCCCACACGGCCACAGGGTAGTGTTACAGATCTAACCCCATCATCGGATGGTAAACACTTCCCGCCTCCTCCCCCCCCCCCGCCCCTCCGCGTCTATACTTACGACAACTGAATTAGCAATATAACGCACCTTCATTCATTCATTGATGAATCATCGAGAAATCGCAATCGACAAATATTTCTCACTCTAATTAAAATTTCTTTCACATCCCGCTACAACAGTTAGCCGTACTCTTCCAAGCATTTCCCTCGCGTCATGACGCATAATATTCGATTAATCTTATTGATCTCTGTAGTCTCCCGAATCTATCGTGATATTTTTTGTTTGTTCTCATTTCTCCCACAGAATTCATTCTCTCTCATTTTTCCACGGTCTTTCATGTTTTAGCAATCTTTGACACTTCTCGAAAAGTATCTTTTCTGATTGTAATTTCGCTCTCTACCACCATCTCTTTTCTTTCTCTCTCCTCTTCTGCTCCCTTTGGAAACGTAAGATTGTCATAATCTGAGTTCGTTGCAACCAACAGGCTGAGAGGTCGCGCGGTACGGAGATATTTTGTGCAAACCGGTCTCGTTGGATTACTATGCAATGGTGCTGCACGTTGTTTAAATCAACCAGATCAGGTACTTGCTGTAGCCTGATTTCTGGTTAGTTTGAGGTATTCCGAATATGAGACATGGATAGTGATGATGCTGGTGGATAGTGATGATGCTGATTCCTAAAATCGCGCTTGGTAAGTGTCCCCACGTGTTTTAATTAATTGGGGTAGCATCAAGTAGAGAATGAGATGGTGAAGATTTACGGCCAGGTTTTGTTATGCATTAAGTACCATCACTTATTAATTTCTAATTTCTATATAAGACAATGGATAAAAATGCATTTTCACCTTTCGTATGTAATTTTTTGATGAAGTGACGGATCTATGTTTGAAATTTGCCTGAAGAATTTAACAACAGTCTGACAGATTCTGAATTACGATTTTCTTGAGTCTGAGTTATTTTCTGACTTCATCAAATACATTTATAGTAGCAGTGCAATGCATTTGCAAGAAAAATGTTTTTTATTGTATAATCACACGATGAAATTAAGTGGATTTGCATGATAGTCTAAAATGAGTAATATAGCATCGAGGACATACTTCTTGCAGAATAGTCAACAGAGACGGTTTGTTTTTACAGTGATCACGATATTGATGCAGTTAAATGGAAAAGTACGAACATCTAATTGGTGGCTTCACTGGAGGTATAACAAGCACCATTGCATGCCATCCGTTGGATCTCCTCAGGATACGGTATTCCGGTTGGTTAATACTTTTTTTTCAATGTACAGGGTTTGTAATAGATCCATTCATTCAGCTGTTTTACATGTGTGCGAAGCACAGTGCAAGAAATGACATTCCCATCATTTTATTTCATTTCTTTGTTGTATTTTATTACTTTATTCTGCTCTGTTCTCTTATTCTACTTTTCTAAAACTTAATACATTTCGTTATACGTAGGTCCATTAATTTTGGTTCGGAAAAAGAAACTCACATATCTTGAGGTTATGCTATGTTGAACTATCTGTCATCTCAGAATTACGAATCTTTTTCTCTGTGAGGTTAAACACCTCATTTGTCTGTAATTATTTCAGACAAAAGAATATATGGAGTTCTAGCTATATTCTATATGTAATTTCAAATTTCATTTTCCGAAAATGTGTGAGCCGACACATGCATATTATTTTACTTTGAGTTTGGATTTGCTGCTTAAAGTCTCACTACACAGTAATTTACTACATTTGTCAAATGCATTGTTATCACTCTCGATCTTTGCAGCTAACGATGGTAGCTGTCAACGTCCGCAATACCGTAATTATTGGCATGCTGCGCAAAGTATTGTACAATCCAGAGGGTATAAAGGTTTGTATCAAGGATTAGCGCCTAATCTGATTGGATCTGCTGTATCTTGGGGACTTTATTTCCAATTGTAAGATTTCTTCTTGTTAAAATGATCGATTTCAGATCAACACGTAATCTTTTGCTGTATTCAGATATTTCGGAATAATATTATTTTGACATAGTCGTTTTCACCAATATTTGAAATAGTTCCAAAACTCTTCATATTAGAAGGATTACACCTCATACCCTGCAAAAATGACTGTAAATTTCTGATTAGATTGCATATAATTTAAATTGATTAAGACAAGCCAACGGATAACTAATTGTATTCTGCATTTGTTGAACGTTATTACAAATATTGGGGCATTTCCTTTGGTACCACCATGACTTTTAGAAATATACGGAGTACTATCGCCACTTCTGTGAAATTTCCAATAGAGTTCTTTCTAGCGTTATCCAGCAGTTTCATTGTAGTTACCACGTTATCAAAAGTTTCTGCTGCGAGAGAACCATTTCAACGGGAGCAGAATCAGTGGATAACGTCCTGCTGGGAATGGTTACTGGAGTTGGTATTTTAATATTCACTAATCCTATTTGGGTGGCAAAAACTCGATTGTGCTTGCAGTATGAAAATGAAAGGACCAAGTACCGCGGACTCTTGAACTGTATCTCTACAGTTTCTCGGGACGAAGGAATTGCTGCATTGTACAAGGTTTATCTTTTTTTTTGCAGTCAAATTTCTTCATCAATTCATAATCGAAGAACCTGTCAAAAAAAAGCGAATTAAAAAAACAGTGTGAAGCATACATCGTTGAGCACAAAGATTTAAATAAAAAAATAGGATTTTTATTTTTCTCTATTTTGCTGAAAGCGTGGCTGTTCGATTTACCGTCCTTCCAAGCAAAGTGGGGGCTGCAAAAGACATGAATTTCATGTTGTACGATAGACATGAGTTTTGAGGACAGGGTGGAAGAACGAGTTGCGATTGTGATTCGAATATTCACTTGTATATTGCTAGGTACAGATTAGTTAGGGAACACTGAAGAAGTGGTACCGAATGTAAGATGTATAGGACGGTTCTTTGATAGATAAGTTATGAACGACAGCATTACTGGTTGATGAAAAAATGAAGGTTATATGGTGCTGGATTAATTGCAGTGTTTTACGGGCTTATTTTTAAAATACTTCTAGGGTTTCACGCCAGGACTCATAGGAACTTTACATGGTGCAATTCAGTTTATGCTTTACAATCGTTTTAAGGATAATCGATTGAAACATTTAGGACTTCCTGCTGATCATACTTTGGTTTGTCTTTATGTACTATTTCTTGCAAAAAATTCTTATTACATTTACCAATCGCTTTTAATTCAAAATATTAAACTACTCACTGTCTCCGAGGCAGCTTTCGGACTTTTGACCATGTGCTAGCAATCAGATCATTATTATTAATATATGGTTATAACAATTGTTGCAAAGGAATCGTAGAGCACTTGAAGCATTGAATATTTTGAACTCAGATTTACTACTGCTATTTAAATTTCGTTTGTTTTCAGGGTAGTGTTGATTGTTTGGTATATTCAGCTTTGTCCAAAGTAATTTCCACGACAATAACATTTCCATACCAGGTGCAGCGAACTCGGTTGCAGGTGAAAATTTATACCGACTCTTTTTAATCGCAATTAAATGAAAATCCAATACGTTATATCTGGTTTTTTTGCTTCTGCAGGATCATCATGCGAAATACAATGGGATATGCGATTTGATAAGCAAAACGTATAGGATGGAAGGTCTGCGTGGCTTCTATAAAGGCTTGCTTATGGGCAATTTGCGTCAGCTGCCAAACGTTATTGTTACATATGTAACCTATGAGAATGTAAGGTACTTCGTTCGCCATTTTTCTCAGTGAAGTTCTTATTTACACGGCTATTAGTTTCATCCATTAGTTTTTTCAATTTTTATTTCATTCTTTTGCATTTTATTTATTTATTTGTACGATTTGTAATAATCCTTTATACCTGTTATATATTTATTACCGGTGTTGCTTATTTTGATAGAAGGGAACAAAATAAACAAAATTTCTGTGATGGATTAAGTTTCGAATAAAGCTAGTTCGAGTGAACCACATTGGCTAATCTTACAAAGCATCATTTTTTCTTCCAGACTGAACGCAGTTTTTTTTAGCAAGTAAATCTTTTAAATCCGTAATTACCGCAAATACCTCTCGCAAACGAAATAATCTGCTGGTAGTCTTAATATTTGTAAGATATTGAGAGTCATAAAATATTTGCGGTAGTAATACATCCTGAGGGATATGGGGTTAATGTTAATAAGGACACTTTCCGCTGTTTAGTTTAAAGTTTATTAATTGTGACTGTCAACTGTAAGCAGTAATGACTTATTGATGCGTATACTTCCACTAATCCTTACAACAGATACATGTATCTCTCTGTTGGGAGTATGTGGGTAATGAATTCTTTTTGTAATCTGACTTACAAATGATAACTGTTCTATATTTTTTTCTAGTTCGGTTAGGAAAGTTTGAAGGAATAGTGAAGCGTATGGAAAAATGATCCGTATTGAAGAGCAAGATAGATTTTTAACTTTGGCTTGAAAGATTTCAAAATGAGTTGCGCTGACTATGGGCCTTTAAACATCATTTCTTTAGAAATTAAAAAATTATGTATAAAAATATATAATTAATGAGTAAAGCTTTACAATGACAGAGATGTTGTTGTTTGTGTCCATTTTGCTATGAACTGTAATACGTCGCCGATACTTTCGGTTGATTTCGTCTTTTGTGCCATGATGAAACGACTCCACGTATCACGATCGGCTGCTTTTCCAGAAGATCCAAATTCTTTAACATTCCCACGTATCGGATAACCTTTAACAGATCGTCATATGGTCCATCATTAAAAGTTTATTGTACGCAGGATCAGTCCTATCAACAGTGAAGAAAATTAGACGAATATGCGAAGATGTGCAATACCTGTTAGAAACATGACATTAATGATAAAATAAAAGAAGGAACCTGAAATAAGACACGCTGAATGAGATGTACCATTTGCATCAACAAGGCTTACTTCGAAGTTACCATTAATATCGCGGGGCAGACTTCGTTCTATACTTTGTTCCATGGATATTGCCAATACCCATTCTTTTACTTCTTCATGTTCGTCATCCTGAATTCTCCATACTTAAGAAGTAAATCCTACGAGGAAGCTCAAGGTCTAATATTTTTGTATATCTCCAATGAAGAATGGGAAAAAAAGTGATAGAACTGCAACCTAGATTTTAAGGAGTAGACTTACAGATGTATATTTTATAGCTGGAAGCAATACTTCTTGCGGTATATCGGTCCCATCAAAAATGGAACCATCAACGATCGATGGATCTTGATCCTCAATCGCGTCACATAAATCCAGATAATAGTTTAGAAGTGTAAATGCCAAACGCTCTTTCTTGGTACCCAGTTTCTGTGATTAACATGAAATTTCATTTTCTGCCAGAAAATATCTAGATTCTTAACCGATTTAACTTAAACGTTAAATTACAAGATATGTCTAGTTATTTTATTAAGACGAGGAATACTTTCAAACTACTGATTTCGAAGTCCTTATGCCTTTCTTTTCACGAAGTTAATTTTTTGACAAGAAAATTCTGGACTGTTGTTTACCGCTTATTTCAAAAAAGAGTGAAGAAAAGCATAATGGAAAATATCATAGGCCTCTTTAAATAATTTTTTGGGAAACAAAGATTGTTATTCTCCATTTAAATGGAAAAAAGCAAATAGATTGAACGAACTCTACATGCCATTCCAGCGTCGTAAAAGACTTTATCAGCTTGCATGATATCGCTATAGCGAATAAAGCTTATTGTAATTTGAGCCGCAATAAGTTCTATCTCTGTTCCACTGTATTCCAAAATAGCTGAACGTAATGCACCATAATGAGCAATCTCCAAGTATCTGTTTAACAACTGAAATGTGGAAGTTATCCAGTAATATGTATATAACAATTATACTGTATCTAATAGTATAAAAGTGAGACTTTCAAGAGACAGGATTCCGTAATTGATTCCAATCTTCATTCTTCTGAATAAGAAGTGCATGAGATGAGATAAAAAAGACTTTTATAACTTGATTAATAACCGACATACTTTTCAGTTAATAAAAACAGCGAATATTCCATTATGCGAGCGCAAGTAACAGATAATCTCAGGTTCATCTTAAAATATATCGCTTTTAACAGTACGCAAGAAATGTAACCTTACTTCTTTCATCTTCTCCTTGGTATTCATACCGTCGTATATCATAAGAAGGACATTCCGTAGCGTAGCCCATCTTCCATAAACGTTCGGATTGTCCATATTACGTACATTGATAACCTTAAAATGTGCTAATTACGTACATTTGATAATAAGTCACATTAAGCCAGAAATAATCCAAATTTTTTGATTCGCTTCACATTAAGTGCCCTAATGTTCAACTGTAATTATCGTTTTTATAACCTTAAATCTTTGAAATAATTACAACCAAAGAAAGTAATTCCTTTAACAAACAGGCTGTTACTTAATAAACATTCCTTGGCCCTAACTCCTTACCAAGCACTTTGTAATAATTATGAGATTTGAAAAAAACTGTTCGTCTTTTAATACTTCTGATATTGGACAATACAAAATTTATGATCACTTCCAAAGTTAATTGTCTTTTGCAAGATATTGAAAGTTAGATGATATAGAAGATATGCAAAGACTAACCACTATCGTATTTAGCATTCAGATCTTTATCAGTATTAAAAATTTCTATTATCAATTTCAACGAAGGTGGTGCTTTTTTGTGTTAAATTTACAAAAATATGTTGATACTGTTTCTAATTTTCTGCAGATATTGGCTCAATTGTTATTGCGGCAAGAAATAGTCACAATTACGCTTATTGATCTTAATTTTTAAAACATTGATTTCACAAGGTCCTTACTTCACTTTTCGAACTTACCTTCAAAACTGTAACTTCTCGACATAGACCAAAAGTAGCGTTTACTAAGTATTTCCTCAGCATTATCTTTTTTGATAGCTTATTTGAAATGAATTAAAGAACGGATGTTTGTATAATATAATTTCCTTTTCTTTTTGTATAATTTCTTTTTTGTAATTTTCCATATTTTAAATTAATTAAAATAATTAAAAAAATTAATCTATGTGCAACTGCATTAAAAGATAACAAAAGTTTTGCTTACTTCTTCAACAAGTTTCTTGTAGATGTTGAAATTGTTCGGATTTGACGATGCCCCATATTTTTCGAATGCAGCAGTTGCTTCGGCATATCTCTTCTCTTTGATCAGTTCGGTTGCATATAACGCAACGTATTTGTCCAACAAAGGCTGGTGCTACAAACGACATACCTGTCTAATAAGCATTTGTGATTTAATCCTTTTCCTTTTTCAGCGCAGGTTCTTATTTAATAATAGATACAACTGCTATACATGTCTTATAAACTTATTGAAAACACTGCGAAGTATCATATTACGAGTTCTTCAAGATTGATCACATGAATAATGACTTCATTGAGCATTGAATCTATATCTATTTATGTCCTCTCTTATAATTTTTAGTTGGATGGAATATTTTCAAAGTTACATTCACGTAATAACTAACTTTCTGTTGGCGAGCTACTTCAAGAGCTTTTTCCCATTCACCGCGTTCCACTAATGTATCAATGGCACTAACTACATCCACATCCATTAATTCTCCTAATCGACCTTGTTGTTTTAATGATTCTCTGTACTTTTCATCCACAAAATCTGCCAAATCGGGGACGAATTCCAAAGCCAACTAAAACTTAATTACACAATGACAATGACGCTTGATGAATATAGTGGGCAAATATGCATATGAGATGAAAGTAATGACTGATTGCTTTTCACCTTATTTACCTTTTTAGCTTTCGCCCATTGTCCACCAAGCAAGAAGGCCTTAACAGCATTATCCGGTTGATTTGAAGCCACAAATAGTTCCGCTGCTTCGATGAACCTTAGCAGTAATATTATGAACTATGGTGTTCTTCGCTAAGATGAAACAATCATTTTTTAAAACATATTATGCAAAGTATGATATCAACTGCTCAGCTTTGAATATTTTAATAGAATGCAAACAAATTTTGATAATCCTTCTGTTTTTCAACTGCCACAATCATTAAAGTTGTCAAGGAAAAAACGTTTTATCTGTTACCAAAGCTTGATTTTGACCTATTAAACTATAAATATGTAGTAATAATAAAATTTAAATTTCTGTTTATGAATGCAATAATGAATTAACAATATTATAAATGTATATTCACAAAAGATGTACCTTTTCAAGTGAATGAAAATTTCCGCAATTTCATCCACTATTGCAGAAGCTTCACTATCCGAGAGGAATTTTATTGCTAATTCCCCCGCCTGGAAAAAGCAAAAAATATTTCTCGATGATAACACAATTTTAAAAAGATAAAGGGTATAAAAGTGCTTCTCTCAAGAACTTACACGAACGAAACAATCCGCGGGGGAAGCAATTTTGGTATCAGAACAATAATAATGAGATAGTTTACACGAATATTATAAATATTATAAATCAATGCTCATAATATTTACAAACGTTGGGAAGAAATGAAAATTTTTGGTTCTGAAGCAGAATGTGGAAAAAGAAAATTTTAATCAGTTAATTATATGAGTCAATGCAATTAAAGATAAATTTGAAATTATCCGTTAACAGGAATATACCCGTTTTAAAGCATTCACAATTGCATCGGTATCGGCTGTCTCTAAATCCTTCACCTTCAGATAACACTGAATGGCTCGGACATATTCTCCTTGAGCTTCCCAATCTCGCGCTTGGGCAATAAATGATAAAATACCTTTTGCGCCAGATTTTAGCTGCACTTCGTCAAATTCTTCCTGAACAATATTTGAAGTCGATATATGCTTTTTCGAAATTTCACATATTTTCCTATTTCAGCAAACCAAAATACTATCTCAAAATACAGCTTGTAATAAAATAATAAATAAGTCATGATAAAGTTTGGTAGGATCAGCAAATATTTTTGTAAGCATTATTTCGGTAGTAAACTGTAAAATAATTACTAACTTCTAACTGTTGTAATTCTGCAGGCATATAATCTTTTGCAATACGAAGAGCATCTTGCCACATTCCTAATTCTTTGTAATAGCGCAGAATTATTTCGGGACGATTGGCACGAAGTAAACAACTTTCGGCACATGTAAAATCTTTTTGCTCGATTGCCATTCGGGCTTGTCGAATGTACACATCAGATAATGCTTCTGGATTATGCTGTCTACAAATCGTTCACGCAAAAATTCCAAAAATCATAGTAAGTTGTAAGGAACTCCTTGGCAGTATTCAGCTAAGTTTACTGTATATATGATTATTGCTGTCAGTTTGAACAACAGTTAAAGTGATGATATAATTATAATGGAGATTATTTCGTAAGGACACTCAGGCCTTTCCTACACTTTCAATTAGAAAATATAACTGTAAATTCAGAATATAAATGAAAGAGTAGTAAACTTTATTGGTATTCAACTATGAGTTTTCTATTCGGAAGGCTTTTTTCTCCTCCTGTAAAATATGAGTAGAATTTACTAAATATTCTTTTCACTAAATCAATCTGATATTACATAAAATCGAAATAGGATAAGAAAGTGCAAGAAATGTACTTTGCAATACGTTCTGCATTTTCCCAATCTTGATTGTGAATATACATCAATATGGCTTCTTTCGGCCTTTCACCTTCCAAGTAATGCATTTCAGCCTTTTCAAATTCACCTTCCTCTTCCAGTTGTTGTGCTAATTTGAAATGCACTGATGGCAGACGATTTTTTGCTTCCAAATGACATAAATCGAATGCAAAATCGAAAGCTCTTAAATACATTATATAAGAAATAAATTTGAATAAAAATTTGTTGCTAATTAAAAAATAACCATACATTTTTTAAAATGCATTATTTGAGATCCATTACTACTTACTTTTTGGAGACTTCCATCATCATTATTTTTATATTCAGTGGAAATATAGATGTATCTTTGGGTATGCCTACCCAAAAATACATCAAATACTTACCCATTTTCACATGCATAATCGATCGATTCATCAAGTAATTTGAATTTCTGCAACAGTTTCACCGCAGCATTACTATTTAAGCTTTTTGCCCATAAATATGCAATCTGCAAAATAATAAGTTGCATTGACTCTTAAAACAATTTGAAATTTATCATCCATCTCTTTAAATATCTTTTTTGTGGGATAAATAAAAAACAATTAAATGTTGCACCTGTTTTTGCGCTCTGTCACCACCTTCTTGCTTTGCAATTCTATACGCATCGTTCCATAATTCGGCGTTACGATACATGTTGACTGCTCCTTTCCAATCACCAGCAAATAAGTAATGCTCTTCTGCCGCCCGTAAATCGCCTTTTTCCTCTAAATCAGCTGCGACTTGAAGATGAGCATCCTGTAAGTACGATTTCTGATCAGGAAAATGAAGATCCTGTAAATATCATATTTGATCGTTTTCGTTTTTTACTTCCAACACTAAATTGTAAAAAACCTTAACATCGTCGACATGATATTTTTCCATTAATCTCATCATATCATCGATCCGACCTTTTTTCTTATACATTGCAATAGCTTTGTTGGCTTTTCCAATCGCGACATATAGCTAAATACGAGATATTAATGATAATCAAAAAGAAGGAAGTTTTAAAAATGAGTCTAAAAATGGATTAAACATAAGGATCATTTAAATTAATGCCTCCTCCGCATCCCTTAAACGATCATTGTCTTCCATTGTTTGTGCCAATTCTCCATACATTCGATCGCTCTCATCTCCCATAAATTCTGTAGCCAGCTGAAACGATTCAACTGATCCTTTGCAATTCTGAAGCTTATCTACTTTTTTTCCTTCCTTTTTCGATTATAATTGGAAATAAAGAACACCACTAGCTAACTGTAAAATTTAAGCTTTAAAAAGTCATAAATGAAATGGCCCGTCGGGGTTCTTTTTTACAATGTTTTGCGGAATATTTGACGAAACATCTGAGTGTGAAGGAATAAATTCTAGATTTGTTATCAATTAAATGGAATGAAGAAATTTCGTGAATATAAATTCCATGTTGACTGGAAAAAGAAAGTAGCATTTACTCGATATGAATCAGCCCATCGCGCAGCTTTATTATACATCTCAATTGCTTCCCGATGCATTTTCGCTTCAACATACAACATTTCTGCTCTCTGAAATTAGTATCTCATTTCTTTTCAGTTATTAAATTAACACTTCCATATCTCGTCTACTTTAAGTTGTACTGAAAAGCCTTTATAGGATGATCTCATTGCACTTGATAAACTTCTTAGTAATTACTAAAAATAGTATGATGATCTTCTCGTTGTACAGCAACATAGTCCAATAATTTGAAGTAATCTACCTCAAAATCACCAACGCTTGCATGATGATCAGCGATTTTACCGTAGTATCGCTTTGCTAGATCGTTATCCTCAAGTACGTCGACAATTTGTGCAGCCTTACCCCATTGTTTTGCTTTGATTGATGCGTCAAGAGCTTTTGCTGTTTGCCCACTTTCTGCAAATGATACAAATTAAGATCTAATTAAGGCTAAATTAGATTAATTCAGATCGATGGACATATTTAATGTCACAAACCAAGAAAATGATTTATTGCTGCATCGTAATTCGCTTCCGTAATTAGACTATCGCCCCATTCTTCCTCCAGTTGAACAACGCTTTCCGGAAAATGTATCCGTGCTAACTGAAAAATGCCAACTGATGAGAAGAAAAAGCATGAATGAGTATTTTTCTTAAGTAATATTTGAAAATTCAATTAGCATATTATTTACATTTTATTTATATAAAATGCTAATTGAATTTTACTTGGATGGCCTTCGCATAACTTTTTCCCTTTCGATAGTTTTCCAGAGCCTGTTCAAAGTCTTTTGTGGCTTCGAATAATTCACCAGCCTGAAAAATTCACGACTTGTCCTAGCTTTTACTTCAATGCATTAAATTTAAATAGATGGATCAGGCCACTTTGACGAAAGAAATGAATAGCAAACTTTTTCAAATAGATCAGATCGTATTAGTGCAGTAGCCACGTTTTGTACCAAGTTATCCTTGAAGAAGAGTTTTGGATTTTGCAAAAGTATACGAGCTGCTTGAATAACCAAGCCAGCTTTTAAATATAGTTCTATCGCAACAAGCAGGTCACCATCACTCTCTGATACCTAAAATTGGAAAGCAATTAGCAATGATCAAATGTTATCTTAATTTAGTTAAAAACTATTATTGAATTATATTTTCAGGATTACAGTAAGTGGCAATAATCGAACAACTCCAGAGAGAGAATATGAATTTTTAGGATCATTTATTATCGTATTTACTTGCATCAAATTTATGAATGCATAAGTGATCCGAAAAAGATAAGAATTAACCAAGACATCTTGCGGAGATGAAAAAAATCACAGTAGCATTACTTAAAATGACATGTAAAATAATAATCATGATAAAACAGTATGCATGTTGTAAAATACTTGAAAAGGATTACAATGAAAATTAATGAATATTTAAAAAAGACCAACTTGTGCAGCTTTTCCATCTTGGCCTGTATCGAACAAATAACGATAGTAACGAGCTTTAACAGTTTCCAAGTCTGGATGATTCTGGAAAGACAATTTATATGTTTTTAGAATAGGTATAATCTCATGGATATTTTATTGGCTGTCAACAAGTCATAAAAGAATAACACTTTTAATTTTTAAAAAAATAGAAGTAAAACATACTCGTGCTTGAGCCAACTCAAATGCTTTCTCCCATTTACCAATTTGTTGGTACATTTCAATAACTTCATCTAACGCATTCTGTAAATTGAAATGAGTGAGATTTGATAGTGAAACTAAATTTTTCTCATTTTGAAAATTTGTTAGATTTGTTTGCAATTAGAATTTGAATAGGAATAAAGGAATCATTGATGTAGCATAATATTATAATGTGATATGGAATCGATCCATTACTTCTTTAGATTGCAAAATTACAAGTAGTAAATATGAAATAAAATGCATTACCTGTTCAAGATAAATTCTTTCAACTTCTCCAAAATCTTTATTCATAAGTGCCAGTCGTGCTCGAACCTGCAGAAATAGTAATAATGCTTGTCTTATTATCAGTAATGACAGTAATAAGAATTAATATTTATGAATTAACAATTTATCAACAAACACATACACTTTTTCATTTTAATCAAAATATCACTTTGGACTATTTCCATTAGTTACAAAAATTGTATGTAATAAAATTTCACATATCGCCAACTATATACAAATATCATGATAAGTTCAAATAAGAAGAAAGAATACTTTGTAATTGTTTTTCCCGTCATCATCCATACTTCTTGTAATTTCATCAACAATTCGAATCGTTTCGACAAGCATTTGCACATGTGATATATCACCCAAAGCTGCGAAACATCGTTGTGCTATTAATAGTTGTTGTTGTGATAATGCAACCTGTAGAAAATGTATTATATCGAAATCCTCTTGAAAACCCAAAAATCAAAAAATCATGATATATTCGTTTCAACATTATCCAAATATTACAGCTCCTAACACTTTTTTAGTGATAGAAGTAATCATGAGAAACCTGAGCAAGTTGACGCCATAATATCGCTGTGTCATATTCTTCTCGTTTTTCCAAAAAATCAATTGCTCGACCAAAATCGAGCCGATCGATAGCAGAAGCAAATTCGATAAGTGTTTGATCAAGTTCATAAGCAACTTTTTCGTTTGTTTCCTGCAAATTCATCCCTTAAAAATAATAAAAAAATTTAAGTTGAAGAAATCAAAATAAAAATTTTCAAATTTCAATAATTTTTGCAAAAATTGAAAAGCAAAGTGTTTCATATAATAACATATCAGTCTCATCTTAGAATTATCAAATTTTAATTAATGTTACTCCTAAAGAAATCGATTCCACAATGAATTAGAATGAATGAAAGTATTCCTTCTTATGCAATGTTAATTTTGCCAATATATTTTTGGCATTTGAATGAGAAATTAATGATACAAGCCAAGCCTGGTGATACAAGCTAAGTTAATATTTGGAAATTATAAATCTTTTCTTAAAGGTATTCTTTCTTATTCCTACAAATTAAAAAAATCAATCTTAAGTTTGTCTTTACGCCTTAACATTTCTGGAAGACAACATGCAATTGAAAATTAGAAATAAACAATTACACATAGACAAATATAAATGCTTATTTTTAATTTTAATTTAGATTTTCAAATTAGCAAATCTTTTATATGTTTTTTCCTAAAATGACTAAGAACAAGTGTCTCTAGTAAGATTCTCTCATTTTCAGAAATTTTATTTTTCTTTCCTTCTCGCTATACAATTCATTATCTTCTATTTCATTAAAATGATTATGATAATACTAATAATAATAATAATAGTATCAATGATAACCTCAACAATAACTTCAGTTCTGGTTTCATCACGGAGAACAGTTTCAATTTCACCTTTTATAGGTATCATTACCATCTGCAAAATGCAACTGTTTTCTTTCTTTTGCGTTGTTTTAAATTTCAAAATGAAAGTGTTGCAAAGACAAAAAATAATTATGAAATAAAAAAATGCTTTACTTCATCTGGATTTTCAGCTTGATACCAAATGCAAAGTTGATCACTTGATTGAGCCACAATAACATCACTGTTAGGAACCCATTGAACGTAACTACAGTAATCCAATAATGATATTTTCCGATCAGTTTTTATATCAGCTAGCAACAACCGAGATCTCTTGTCACGAAATAATAATTTTGTTGCCATTTCACTGAGCTAAAAAGATTAACAAGTTTGATTTGCGATTGCATTATGTTTTTCATCATTTCTATCTAAGGTGAAAATGTCTGGTTATACATTCAAGCTTAATAATTAGACTCGATAAAAATTATGATATGATCAGTTATAATGAAGATGAACAAATATGATTGAAATGATGAGATGATAAATGATGATAAAGATGGTTTTGTGATTAAATTAATTATCAAAGTCATTTCCGGAGGATGATAAATAGCATTATAAAATTTATTAAAGTTTAAACTCATTCCGTTTAGCAACAAAATGAATAGAATAAACCTCAAGCCAGTCGATATATATCGGATGCGAAAATTGTGCAATCTGCCGTTGATTTATCAAATCAACTGTAAAAAGAGAGTTCGAAGATAAGAAGTAAAAGAACAATGATTTTTATTAACTTTAAACCCAACATTTTAGAGATATAAATATTCTTCAATAAAGATCAGTTACATACCTACTGAAATGGTATTCAGATCAAGAAGATAAGCAACACGTTTTATAGCACCAGCATTTTTCATTTTCTGTTCCGCAAGTCGTACTGAGATGAGATGTGGTGATATAAGCTCCGTTCGAATCCATCCAATTATTTCGTTATTACCATACTCTACCAAATTTACCTATTAACAAGAATCATTTCATTTGAATATAACCAATAAATAACAACTATTAATATTTTACAAAACGTACCATTATTGAAATATTGAATTTTTGACATAAATATTTTAATATTATATTATTGAAACATATAGTTGATCAAAATATTAAATTACTATTAAATCAGTAGAAATATGCAATCACTTCCACATATTTCATTTATTACTACTATTAAAACTTTAATTCGTTGCCAATGATGAAGATGCATGCAGTGCATGCTAAAATACAAATTACTGCTATAATTTTAGATACTTATCTTATGTACATACCTCTCCAGCATTGATTATCATGCAAACATGTTCGTTATCAAAATAGAATCTTTCATTACCAGCACTTCGCCATTCAATTTCGCTACAATAACCGGTACTCATATCAGCAATTATCAATGTATTAGTTGTATAAGCCACTACAAATCGATCATGTCCCATTATCTAATTAAAATATTTCATTTAAAATTAACCTTTAACAACAACCAAACATTGAGAGAATGACCTTATGTATGTTATATTATGTACACAACATTTACAATCACCGTATCACACAAAAAAGTTTGAAGCCTATTAATAATAATAATAGAAAAATAAAATAGTGGTGATGACGACTTAATAATAACAACAATAATAATAATGATCGACAATAATAATAAATAATAATAGCAATAATAATTAATAATAATAATAATGAAAGGATCTGTAAGTGAATATTTGTTGTCTGATGTAATAATATCTTAAATAATTATTTTAAAAAAGAAGAAAAAAATTACCTTAATTTCATTAATAGGTAATGTTTTAGAAGAATGAATTGTTACACATTGTTCAGCATCTTTATCTTTGATAAGAACTTGTGAAGGTGAAACATATTTCGTTTGAAAACGTCCTTTCAACATAGAATGTTTTAGACAGCAATCTACAGTTATTACTGCACCGCACAATGTACCCTGCAATAATGATATCTGCAAATATTTATAATCTTCTTTAATATACTATTTAGTAGTTTGAATTTAAACAGATTAACGAACGTAAATCTTTTTAATCTATGTCGTATATATATATATATATATTTATCAATGCAATATGAATTGTTTTGATGAAATTGAATTATTCCGATAAAAAGCGTAAACGACATAGCATAGTAATTGTTTTATCATTAAATTATTAAAATTATAGGAAAAGAACAAACCAAAACAATAGTTGAACCATCTGGACTCCATGCTAGCGCACTAATTGTGTATAAATGACGAATTTCCAACGATTTACCTTCATCCAAAGCACCTCGTCGAGAATTCCATGAATAAAGTCGTACTCTTTAAAAGTGACGTTTTTCTTATTATATCATCCAAGTTGTAACATTTGTTTACTATTAATGTTTTTAATATGCATAACTGTTAGTGCATATAAAACAGAAATGATATCATAAAGCCATTTTTGAATTAATCAACAAGATATTATTGTAATCATTTGAAATTAAAATATTTGAAATTGAGAAAGCGATGAAAAGTCATAAAATGCTTGAAATTCAGACAAGAGATGGAAAATCGTTAAATAGTTGAAATTGAAACAAAGGATGGTAAATTATTTCAAATTGAAACAGGGAATGAGAAACAGTAAAATACTTGTAATTATAAATGAGAAATTATGGTGAACCTGTCAAAGCTTCCAAAAATAATACTTTGTCCGACTGAATCACGAATAGCAACGGTAAATTCCTTCTCATGATCCGATCCATTATGATAATCAAATTGTTGTAGTATTTCGCCACTTTCTGTATACGATACTACACGCTGATCACATCCACCAATTATAATACCATTACTTGTATATACTAAAGCATAAGGAGGACAGCTATGTGTCAAAATTTTTGTTTGTATTCTTCGATCGATCGAATATAAAAAGATGGAACCGTCAGTGTGGCCAGAAATGAATGATCGACCATCAGGCCTTAAAAATAAATTTTATTTACTCATTTGATAAGTTCTATAATTTCCAGCAATATTTAAAACAAAAATCGATTTAAAATATGATAAAATGTTCATGTGATATAATAATTGAGAGATATTTGGAAAATGTTGCATGAAATGAATATTTAACTGATACAATAGATAACAACTGATTCATTAGCTTTGATTTAATGTTTTATTTCCTAAGTTAAATTGGAAATGTTTAATTTTAGAATTAAAAAATCTACGATTAATTAATTAGTTTTCTGGATGAATATCTTATTATTCATCCTTGTTGCTGGTTTGAAAATATGAAAAGTATAATGTTATAAGGCGAATGTTTGTTTCCAGTGCATTGACATTTTTTCATCAAACTAAAAATCTTATCAATCATTCTTTCATTAGAACAAATATTCCAGCAAAAAATCATTTTTCCAACAAACTAAAATTTCAATCAGTCAAGAAATTTGCAAATTAAACTTGTAAAGAGAAAAAGAAAATCCATTTTATTTTACGGATAAACTAGTAAGCTATTCCATTTCCTACTTTTATCCTTCAAAAAATTTTATATGGTAATTTTTTTACATGGTAATAAATTTTCTTATATGGTAATAAATGATCAGAATAATTAAAAAAACAAATATTGACAGCTTTTAAATATGGAAATTAAATTAGAACTATTCCTATTTTAATTAAAATTATGCAGGATATAATTTTTAATTATTTCACAAATTTACACAAAATGCAATTATTCAATTAAAAAAATTCTTAATTAACGAAATAGTTAATGAATAACAATAATAAAATTCTTACGGAAGTGCAAGAGAAATGACAGATACATCGGTTTTATACAACGTGGAACATTTATTGCTACGACATGATGCAACTCTTACTTTGCCATCAATTAAACCAATTATCAAACGATCCTCACTTGGCCATATTAATGCTATCACTGCTGATGATTGGACAAATTTATTACATATAAATTTCTTCTCATCCCTAAATTAAGAGCAAATTGTTAACGTTTATATGTTAGTGTATTAATTCATACTGTATTAATTATTGAATGATTGATAATATAACGAAGTATAAAGCGATTTATGTCAAATTGTTATAAATGAATTATTGGATAATTTCATTGAAATGGTATAAATCACCTACCACGTTTTACCAACTCGATAAACATAAACAATATTATCAGTCTGACCAACAGCAATAAGGGTAGAATCGGGTGAGAAAACTAATGTTTTCACTTGATAGCTTTTCTTCCCATACTGCAAATAACACATTATTATCTTATCTCTAAACATTATCTCTAAACCATATACATTATCACTAAAGCCTGTTTCATATCAGTTAAACCTATCAGTTAAAGTGACCATTACTAATCCAAATTATATACAACATATATTCGTTTCTTATTTCAATTTTAAATATAATTTCATATCTTATAAGATTTTTTTTATCGATTAGAATGAAATGGTACTTTAGCATCGATCGGTTTAGTAGCAAATTTATCACGCCGTTTTCCGGTTTCATCAAATAACAATATAACTCGATCAGCATTAGCAACTGCTAATTTTTTGCCATTCGGTGACCAATCCATTGCTGGTATTTTGGCTGCTCCATCCTGAAATGATTGTTTTATGGGATATTCTGATAACTTACTTTGTTTTTCTGCAATTATATAATAATAATTAAACAATAATATGTTGTCATTATAATTATAATTAAACAATAATATGTTTGTCGTGTTTACATTAGTTGAAAATTTCCAAAAAGTAAACAATAAGAAATGTAAAAATTAAAAATATTTCATAAACTGAAACATAACATACATCTATATACCTATTAAAAATTAAAATATACCTTATGGTATGATATGTGAGAATTTTTTAGCTGGGAAACTATTTCGATATTTTCAATAATTGAATAAAACAAGTCTTTATAACTTGCATGATACTTCATGACAGTACAGACGGATGAAACCACTTTCATCATTATATTGAAAACCGAATTCTATTTACATAATAACCCGGAAGAGTATAATTTATGTGGATTGAAGTGAAGAGAACTAAATCACAAAATTCTTCTGGCTTATAGAAGTTTTGGTACTTTTGACATTTAATCGCCAAATATTTGATTGCCTAATAGTGTTCGGAGAAGTGAGTACAGTGAATATTTTAACATGAAAATGCGAAATATAACAATATAGGTTTCACGGACTCCATGACATACTTCAATGATTTGCTCTCTCTACTACATCGTCGTCATACATAGCAATTGGTGAAAATGTAACTTTTAGAAAGAACAGGATGGAAATTACCTGTTGTTCCACTATCGTAGCTAAATACCGCAAGCGCATCCTCCCGAGAAAGTTAAATCATCAGATGAAAATGTATGTTGAACTTTTCGGAAAGTAGAAAATAAGGGGATTTCTATAGCATTTCAATGTAAAGCTTAGGTAATTTGCTTCCTCCCAATCTGGTTGGCATGGTTACCCACCACAATGTTGCCCTTTTGTATCGATGCCAATATTAATCGCTGATTCAAGCATTTTATTTCACGATAGAATACAATATATTAATTATGATACGGCAATGATTCAGAAAAAAATAAAAGCTAAATATGAGATGATATAACAGCTTCCTTAGACCAAATCCCGGGTAAGAATTTCTCGGACAGAAATACGAATAGAATTGGGATTCCGAATAAAAGTTGGTCTCGTATAGGATTAATGATGAGAATCCTCCAGGATTCAATTACTAATGATGTTTATATTACAAATCTTACAAGCATTTCATTAAACAAATAAAGCTGAAATACTGCATCCTATCACAAAGCTTTTAGAAATCAATCACATCGTGTAAATATGCTATAAAAGTATCAATTAAAAAGTAATCAAATGAGACCAAAATGTATGCAGTGAAAAGCATTAAAGTTTACAAATAAAATCAACCCCTAAATTCATTGAAAATCGCGAATAATAGATAGCTAAAATAATAAAAATTCCAACAACAACGATGCAAAGATTGACAAATATTGATACATAGCAAAAACTTTAGTATTGAAGCTTACATTTTATGGCCTACAAAGATATTTTTTATTTTTTCCTAGCTACAATTGTATGTTAAGCACAAATTTCGGACTAAGTACAAATTTTGCATTCCAGATATGTTCGAGTGTACGCTAAAATAATTTGTTCACTGTGAAAACGGAACAAATTCAACCAATTCAGTCTTCCCATCACGATGAAAATAAATAACAACTTCGTAATAGCAACCAATTACCATATCGACTGATGCTCCGAATCACGAAATTTTCTTCCTTGACCCGTTTCTGGATCGACAACGATCCGTCTTCCAATCCCAACATTATCCTCCATTGGGTTACTAACTCGTTTCTGACAACGAGTATTACTTGTTTCGTCGGAGTACTGGAAAAGATTCATGCTAACAAAAACCTCGTGAAATATATCAGAGTATATTTCCTAAAAATAATCATTTCCGTAGCTATATAATACCGCTCTTAAAAGGGTAAAGAGAAAGAAGAGGTAAGAAGAAAATTGTCAGGTAAAGTAATGCATGATGGACTATCGAAGATTTCTTAATAGATTGATAAAGAAATAATCTGACGAACCTGATTTTCATTCGCAACTTCCGTTCTTGCAGACTTTGCATACCGTTTATTGATAGAAGTGGAGGAGCCGCATAATTTGATATTCTCGAAAAATGGAGGATAAACAACGAAATTAGTAACTTGCCATACTGGATCATTCAAACCATAATGCTTGTTCATAAACTGCAATAACGATTGCGATGGCTTATCGATTGCAACATTTTCCGCAGACGAGTTTTCCTGCTAGAAAAAAAGAAGCGTTCAACGGGGAAATACACATACACATAGCGCAATTATACGTATACAACAAGAGATTAACTGTAGAAGGATTCTATTACGGATAGAGTGGTATCAATCCTTACTTGTAACATATAATCAAACAGAGCATGTCCGTATCCTTGTCGTTGAAGAGTATCATGAACGTAAAAATCGAGCACACATAATGGTACTACTTCAAAAGATCTAGTAGACTGATCCATCAAATAGAGATTTTTGTAGCCAATCTTTAACAAACCTATTATTATACTCGAATTCCTGCAAATAAAAGAAAATGATCAGTAATGGATAACGCACATTCAATTCATCAATGTCCTTTTCTATTTACCAAATTTGGTTAGCTATAACATTTAAATGATAAAATGATACCAAACCAAAAAAAGTAGACAATTGTCAATATGATAACTAGCGACTTTTTGCTTATAATCATTCCAATATCTTCACTATATGTAATAAATCTTAAATAATATATGGCAAATCGCTTACTCATTATTTGGATTTTTTCTCCACAACAAGTAAAGCACCTGTCCATCGTCAGAATTGATTATCTTATCGTACGTGGTGAGCACACGTTTCAATCCCTGTGCCTGAAAGAAACGTATTTAAGAGAAGTGATGACGCTACTAATAAATTTAATAGTCTTCCAGGGATAATCAAATTAGATATTTCTTAATTTTTATCAATTTTGTGATCAATGAGAATTCTAAAGCAAATTTAAACATTGTCTTACTACTAGTGATTGCTGAAGTTTACTCTATAAAAAACATGTGAATTCATATTATTTATTAAGCTTACACATTATCACGCTCTAATATAACCACGATTACCATCTCATTTTATCATTTTCAAACATTAAAAATAAATCGTACAGCTGTAGAAAGTGCTCCCATATTATTGATCGTTTTTTCAATAATCCAATATTTTCGTGGATTAAGTTGCCTGAGCATCACATCATTCAGCCTTTGTATCGGCATATCAGGGAAATAAACGCTCAAATCAGCTGGCACATTCATTACCTACGAGTAAGTTAAATTTTGAGAATTTCAAACCCTCGGTAAATAAATAAAGATCGATGGCGAAAATAACCATTTTAAAAAGATAAATGATCAAATTAGTTCTTCGATGGAACCAAATTTTCAAATTTGATAAATTGTGATAAACAATCAATATAGATGAGTAGTTTGGAAATCAAACAAACCCTTTTTTAGTGAATAGATAGATAACTTGAGGAAGTAAAGTGCAGTAAAGCAACGAAAATGAAACAATTAAAAATCTTGGTTCCTAAAAAAAGATCACCAAAATTACTAAGAAAAGAAAAATAAAACATAAGTAAAATTATTTGAGGACATTAAAAGGAGAATTTGGGAAAGTGACGAAAGTGACAATTCCAATGTTTCATACTCCTTTAACCCTGCTAATTAATAAATAAAACTACGATTCTCACGGTTCAAACAGTGATCAATATATCTTTTTTTCTTTAAATTCTTGAAAGCAGACAACCTCTCTCCCTCCCCTTCCCTCCAAGATGAATAACCCCAACTAAAATACTGGCTCATACCACTCCTACCTATCAGCACCTGCAGTGACATCAACATCGATGAACCTATGAAGCAATGATTTCGCTTAGTCAATTCATTTCGTTTGGAGAATTTGCATAAAAAGAAATTGATAAATGACAGCATTTTCATTTTCACCAATTTAAAGCCAAGAGCATATCTTATAGTATCCTGATCGTGTCAAGAGAGGTTAAATCTCACAATGCAATGATAAGTTCAACCTGCACTTCCTGAATGACATTCTTCAGTAACCTTATCAAAAAGCAACACATTAAAGAGCTAATTAATAATTTTGCCAGTAGAACTAACAGAGTGAAAAAAGTTTCGAAACAGAATAGCATACATGTAGCCATATATTCAGTCCCTTTGACAAGATAGCACATTCGCCGAAATCGATCTTAGTAATGAAAAGCCTATCATTCTACCTAGATAGAGGAATGATGTTGAAACATATTTCTGCCAAAACAGAAAGTGTACCGAACTTTCTAGAAGTGATAAATTTGTAAAAGCGTAAAGTATTGAAATAAATCTAAGAGACTGGGTAGTAATACCAAGTTTTTCAGTGGTCAAAATGGAAAGCAAGAATTATGGTATACAGAGTTATTCAACTAACATGAAGTATTTAAAAAACACTGAAAAATCATATTTAGATTTATTTGACGGTTAAAAAGCACCTTTACAACAAGAAATGTCAACAGTAAAATTTAAACCTAGCGACAAAACTGACATTCATCGAAGCATTCATGCACGACAAAACTTCGCGAGATTTCATTTCTTAATAGCATCACTTAGATGATCTAATACTTATACTACTATTTTCATATCTGTTTCCATGTAAAATATATTTCATGAGATTACACACTACGCAAACGATAGCTTGTGTTATTCGGATGATGAAATCACTCTTAGCTGCGATTCCATAATCCGAATTCTGAACGGAGGGAAACTGTGAAATTTTATATTGAATTTCATAAACAAAGTCATTCAACAATTCCGTTTAAGAGAATACCGTGATATCCCACCTTAAATTTGAAACACTAATATCGTAGAGATAAGAGATATATAGTACAATAAATATCATGAAATATAATAAATATCATGGAAAAAATACAGCGTTAAGCAAAAATTACCGTTAATTTTCAATCCAATTTTCTACACAAAAATACACACTATCTGATTATAACAGCCTTTTTTGGACAGCAGCACGTTTGCATAAGTGCAACAAGATATTAACTGTTAGCTCCTTTTCTCTCCAGAATTTTAGAAACATTAAAAATTTAAGCTTCAAATATCTGTGCATTACTTCTTGATATTCATCCATTGGCGTCGATCAATAAAGGATCGATGAAAGTTTTGATAAACTTCATCTAATTAGCCGTATATACATGCTTCAAGAACTCCCAAAAAAGTTATTTTTTTTTTCCTCTTGATCTATATAAAACTTATATCACTGTTTATGCTTCCTGTTTGAGTATGTTTCTGGATGATTCGCGTAGTATTGGTTAGTATACTATGTTTGGTATGACCTACAAACATTCATGGATTTTACAAAAATACACTTTATGATTGCATTCTCTTGCAACAACTTTTCTGAAGTAGCGCTGCTCCAGCCCTCGAATCAACCGCTTCACGCATTCGTTCAAACCATGCTTTAATTTGAGTTTTATTGCAAAGTTCAGTAAACGTTGCACTTCCTAGAAATGAATTCATTGCTCCATAAAGTGCCTGCAACCACAAAATTATGAAAAAGATTTCCTTTTTAAAAGAAAAACCAGGCTGGTTCCGTAAAGCACTAAATGAAAAGAATAAGAGATTTAAATCAATCCTAAGATAATCTCACCGTTCCAGAATTGTTTCGCTTCATTTTCTATTTCGTTCAATAACATTTTTCTCTCCATCTCAAATTGATTTATGCAGAGCATTATCACCAAGCTCTTGCGTAAAAGGTTTGAAGTAATAATGATTATTTGAATGAGAAAAATGAACGTAAGCAGGATATAAAACAAGACAAACCAAATCAGCCAGAGTGGGTTGTTGACCACCGAGAAATGACGAATTTCCCACAGCACTCATCCACTGATTACAAGCATTTATTAGAAGCTGGCGGACATCAGCACTATCATACCTGAAAACACCGTCTCTGTTGTTCATAATTCACAGCCGTTTACGAGCGAAGGACAAAAATTTTATCGGAGCTTTGAAAAAATTACTTCTTTAAACAAACATATTTTAATAATAATTCGTTCTATAGCTACAGAAGAATATAGACTAATCACAGATGTTTACCCAACTTTCGTGCACTAACTTATTTCTTTCTCATGTTAATCAGTAATTATTCGATTAAAAACAAATATTCTTATTCCTAATAAATCCGTCTATTCTTTTTTTTTTTGAAAAAACAGCCAACTCACTTCTTCCGAAGTTTTTTTGATAAGAAATACATAGCGATTGAACCAAGGTAAATAGTGACATATCGTTCCCAAGCAGGTACCACTTTGTCCCATTGACCTGCTTTACCAAACCAACGGAATGTTTCAATGCATTCATTCCATGAGCGATACACATTTGGTACTATCAGAGGAATGAAATGTTCATCAACCCATTTACGCCATTCCTCTTCTTTCCTTCATAAATGTTTAGATTAAAGAATGAAAGAAAAATAATTAGCACAGAACATCTCGTTTGTAAATGACCGACAAATAACAGTAATATTTAATAGCTTCTTATCAAAGGGCACTAATCCACAAAAACAGTAACAAAATGTTCAAAAATGTAAAAATAACCTTGCACTTTCCTGCTCCATTTTCGACAGGCTGTTCAAAGATGTCATAATTTCGTACATATTGGGATGCGTAACTACCTGTTTTCCTGTTTCTTTTACAATGTTCGTTTGTTCTGGGTAAAATTTAATTACGTCATCCAGACTTCGATCATTCTGAGTCATATAACTTGTCAAAATTGATATTATCAACGAAGAATCACTCAACTTCCGATCCATTTGCGCAACTACGGTTGGTAACTAAAGAAAAAAATCTCATACTCATATTGATTGCTTCATTATTCATGAGTGCTACAGTTAAAGAATATGATCAGCACGATTTTAATCTATGAAAAAATACAGACCTTACTAACGCCATCTAACTTCTTGATTTCTTTTCGAGTCAGAGGACTGACTTCAATCACATCATACGAAAAACCATAAAAATTCAAGAAGGCACGAACTTTGCAACAAAACGGACAAGCTTCGTACTGATAAAGCCTTAATTTCAGATCAGTATGATCATAATCACTCACAATCTGCAATAAAACATCCAAACAATGACAGCCTCAGCACCCTCATTTTCTTAACATTTCCACTACTCTAATTTTGGATAATTCTACATTTATGCCTCTTCCCTCATCAAAGTTTTATTGTCTTCTAACCCGTTTAGCAATTAGTGCTCCATCAGTAGGATCTTTGAAAGGTCCTTCAACACGCCACTTCCCCGTATCTGATTGTTTTACTGATCGTACCACGCCAGAATTGTCATCATAATTGGCAAATCCTGCCAAAGCAGCAGCCGTTAACACTCCACCACCGCCACCACCGCATTGTATTAAATTTCTAATCATATATCGATTCCACATAATTAAAGCTATAATAAACAGTTCATAGCAATGAAATTAAATGAAAGCTACAATTGAATTTAAGGCTAATCCTTTCAATATTACTGTCGCTTTCCGGACCAAATTCCCACATTATCATCTCCTTTTTGAGGTCATGCCAATCTTTCTTGCCGAGTACATGCTGCAACCCCTCCTATATTCATTTCGCTGTTACAAATACTGAAGATCCCTTTCGTTAGCAACTGATCAATTTATTCAATTCATTTCTCCCGACCAGCCATATCTATTTCCATTTCCTACTTACCACAGAGTCTAACGTCAGGTTTTCAGAAATGATATCATATATCGCTAACGAAAGACTTGAACAGTTCACACTACTTAAACTAAAACGTTCCGTAAAGAACAGCAGTATCAAAGAATCGTGTTCAAACCTCCAATAACCAGCAGAATGATTCTGTTGTTTGCATCCAACGTATGACAAGACTAAATCTCTATCAGGTTAATTAAAAAACAGCTAAAGGCCAACCATAATTATGTATGAAATTTCACCAGAACACGCTTAACATGAAAACAATACGGATAGAGTATTTCATGAATGCTCTGCATGCTGCATAAAATGCACTGTCACTGTTATACACACACATAATTATTTCTGATGCATTTATCAACAATTCTCAACGTTATAGGCATACATATACGAAAAAGATACATATTTGAAGGAAACATAAACATTTCGAAGACTTCTAATTAGCAACTCTACATCTTACTTCAGTTAAACCAATTAATGAGCTTTATAATCATTTTCATTCCACCCCTTAAAAATCAAGCAACATGCGTAACTACATATATATATATCTAATTTAGTTATACCATCATTCCTTTGTCTAGCTATAATTAGGTTATATTTTTGGATAAAACAGATCTCATGCCCAGACGTTATATATCATCAGGAAATTACAACTTTCAATGCTTCACAACAAAAAAAAAACAAAAAAAAACATATCTATGAGACAATAATGTGTTCAACAATATACAAAAAATTGCAAAAGTAAACCTTGTATACAAACTACAACATATAGAGCCTTTCAATAGTAAGACCGTCGGAACAACATGATAGAACGCTTAGTGAGAAAGAAAAACGATTCTCGCTTAGAGAGTTTGGAAACAAGCGGGAAGCTAATCCGAATGATGAAATCCAAATGATAAAATCTGCTGTACCTGTCATAACAGGTAAAATATCATTACCAACAGATCGTAAAAAGATCCTATTTTCGTTTCATAAAATTTTCACAGATTTTAAATGAAAAAATTAGGCATCCCCATAATCGACAACCAAAGACCTCATACTTTACTTAGTCGTAATTGAAAAATATAGAATGCAGAACTTAATGCAGGAGACGAGACAAAGAAGAGGATTAACGTAAATAACATAACTACTAGAAAACATGCACACACACATAGGCAAAATGTAAAAAATTTAAACGAGGTACGAAAGGAAAAAATTACATGTAAATTATTGTCAATCACGAAATAAAACAAAAAATTTACAAATTCGAATACAAAAACCTACAATCATAGTAAGAAAATAATAATAATGGTAATAATAATAATAATAATAATAATAATAATAATAATGATAATAATGATAATAATAATTATAATTATTAATAATAATATAATAGCAGTAATAGTAATAATAATAATAATAACAATAACGAAACCGGTATCTCTTGTACGATATATTATACTGACAATAAAAAGAAACAAAAACAAGTTAAAGGGATTGTTTATACGAAATGGTTTGAACTAAAAAAACTTCATTGGGAGGACCAAAAAAGAAAATCCCAGCAGCCAGATTAATGATACGTTAAAATCTCGATTTCATCACTTTCTATCAATACCATTAAACCAAAAGCCCAATAGTATTAGAATAATATTAGTAAACATAAGAATATCTATCGAAAATAACTGCAAACTAGAATAGAAAAGAAAATTTCGCTATATTTCAAGGAAATCAAATGTTTTCATCAACTCTGTATAGCTAATCAACATATATTTCCCAATGGTGACAGTAAATCGCGAGGCGGATTTGGGTTTTCAAAAAAAAGTTACGATACTGGCCCATCAAACTAATTAAAAAATTTGTTAATTTTTTACTTTGATATTTAATGATGGAGCAGGAAAAATGACTGATGTACAAGCCAACAATAATTTCGGTAACAAAGATAGAAAAAAATGAGAAAAAGCAAACTAACTTCGAGGTTTAACAAAATATACAGCAATCCATTATTTTAAATGGATTACAAACAAAATAAGACCAACGACATAACATATGATGCGTCGAGACATTTTCATAAAATGACTCAATCAATCAGTTCTATCCTAAATTTTCCATTTCTTTATTTCAATGCAGAAATGAACATTGCTGTTACCACTCAAATTATTGATATCGAATTCATTGATGAATAATCAGGTTGCATTATCGGCAATCCACCATTTTGCTTTTGAAAATATTTCTCCAGTTTAGCTGCAGTAAATATGATTAAAGAATGCCTACAAATAGAAGTTCCAAATTACTTAACAATGAAAATAAACATATATGTCAAAAGACAACAAACTCACTAATGATATGTTTCCCATAGTTGTATTTCCGCAGTGCAGGAATATGTGGTTTAATAGCTAGCATCATCTTTTTCCGGAGAGCGCTATCAGCTACATCCAACATCTTTTGGACAACATAGTTAGCAAATTGATCTTTCATCATCATCAAAAGCGGTGTAGCGATACTAAAAGCAAAAGAGATTCAAACGTTCCCATAGTTCTATGAATAGCTAAATATTAATAACAAAACCTTCTATTCACTCGGAGGACAGAATGTATTTCGCCTTATCTCTGAATTTTTTATACTACTATTACATGATAATTTGCTATATTCCATATGCCACTATGCATAACGAATTTATATACTAAATATGCGATCTACCTAGCAGATCTTGAACGAAGCAAAAAGCGCGAATGGAGGGTAAGATATATACTGTGGAATAACAAAAAGCAACTCCAGAAACCATTGCAATATCCCTTACTAAAACAAATTGGCGCTAATCGAAGAGTTATTAAAACTTCAATGAAAAGAAAGAACTGACTCGTTCGGGTTGCCACAAACTTCAGTAATCAAAGCATTCTTATGATGTGGCTCACCGCATGTTAAACATTTTTCGATTACATTTGATGCAAATTTGTGTTGCGCGAAATGTAAAACATCACCCTGCAAAGTGTAACAATTCAAATGTTAGCATAAAGCCTTCATTCGACAATAATAATATCAAACAAAACGATATTACATAATCAACGAACCACTCTTCTGTATTTTTATCATCTATATTTATATGCAAAAAATGTCTTTCGACAATTAACATCTGCGATAAGTTGAAATTAAGGCAAGTTCATGGGTATATGGTGCACTCACTGTAATCAAAGCGTCGAAATCTTATACTATTGAATTAATTGAATTAAGAACATAATTCGAGCGAAGTGAAATGTCCCTTGAAGTTACAACAAATGTAATCACCAACTTTAACTTGGTTAACAATACGATCGCGATCTTCCAAGGAGCCGTGCTCAATAACATGTTGGATGACATAGTTTCCATACTGATCTACGATCAAACTTTTGACGTGCTTGTGAAGCTGATCTAGCACAGGCCGTTTTTGTTCATCTGTGCAATGCTCCAATACGCGCTGGATCACTCTGCACCCATATGGATGCGTTGATAAATTACATACCTATAAAGACATTGCTTCGGTCATTACCAATTCTATGAAGTGGCTGTAATTTGTTACCCAAAACCCGATTTCATAAAAGAATGGAAGCAGAAATATGAAAACCGAGGCGAACCTTCCTTCAACTGCACTTACCGTAATGTTGTCTCCCGCAGGAACCAATGCATCAATAATGAACTGTAATCGTGAAGCATCAACGCGTTCAATAACTTTTTGCACTACATGATTTCCATTTTGGTCCTTGACACATTTCAGCACCTGAAATTTCAGAAAATGCTAATTTCGTAAAAAACCACTACCATCCCGACGAACTGTAATATTCCCAAGATACTATAGAAATTTTACTCCCACGGGTCATCGGTACTGGTACTTGAAAATATACATCCGCAGATGCAAAAATGAACGTAAATCATACCTGTCCTTCCATTTCCTTTAAAATTTCCATTTGTTGTTCTGGTTCAATACTTTCCAAAGCTTTCTGAATGACACGACATCCATACATTTGCAGTGCCAGTGACATAACATTGCCCTGAAAACAACCCACACAGGTGATGCGATAAGAGTTGCAAACTAGTATTTGTGACACTACACTCAATATTTTTGTAGGTAATATATCAAAAAATTCTTTTAGTACACCTTCGACGATTGTTCCATGCTACAAAACCGCATGTTTCGTACATCTATATATTTATCAAGTATTATATATCTTACAGGTACCTTCACGGCATTTGTGAGGATATTCTTTTGTTCAGGAGTTCCATATTCAAAGAACTTTTGTATTACATAATTTCCAAAAACATCGGTCATTAAAGACTGAGCGTGTAATGCTACTTCGTCGAATACTGCTTGCTTTTCTTTTAGTGAAGCACGTTCCAATTTTTGCTGTATGAATCTGAAAACAACAAGTTTGTATTGGGAGTATAAACAATATAATACAAAGTATTTTAAATGCAAACAATTCATTACTTCAGATGCAGGCACGATAAAAGTGCTACTAAAGCATATTCCTACCTTGAACCATGTTGATCTTGCGCAAATTCCACAACATGTTTACCAAGATCTGTTAGTTGTAAATGAGGATTACGATTATTTCGAAAATCATCTAACAGATGTGACCTTGTTTGTCTCTCTCCATCAGCTGAAACATATCCTAAAGCAAAAAGTTATATTCTCCTTCAGAACTTCCATCTTTTTATTCATACACGGATATTAAATCTCACTTGAAGATTAAGGTTCATAATG